TTTCTTAATTTGTAACTTAAATCTGAATGTAATTCAAAATGGTTCAAAAAAATTTAATTAAAATTGGTACATGTAAAAGAAATGGGGCAATAATATACTGAAAAGTCTTTATTTATTAATGTCTAAAAAAACTTATGAATAACTTATCAATAAGGTCTTATTTTTTAGATAATTCATACATTTTTGGTGTTACACTGGCTCAAAAATCAATTTATTGTGCATTACTCCTTGCATTAACCTAATAAACATAACCTGATAAACCAAAGCTTTGTTCGGTCAATTCCCTGATAAAGCCTTGTGTATTTTCTCTGACCTTTTAAAAGCATTGTGACATCATATATATTGCAATTTTTAGGCCATGGCATCTTAGTTTTAACTGCAGAAATGTGCCTAAATCGGTTGAAAATAGCTTGGTTTGGATATCTGATGTAAAAATATATTGCAAGGTAAATAAAATACCGTATAGCAGGTTATTTTAGCGGGGTGCTAATTTTGGCTTGTTTTAGCATTTTGATGGTAGCCCGCTAAAATTTTAATCACTAAAATATTCAGTACCCTTTTTAGTAGTTCGTCTGTAAAGAGTTGAAACACTGTCTCTGCTAAAATAAAGTACGCCAAAATTATTGGCGTACCTTTGAGCAGGCAAAATGCCAAATTTTACACCTGCCAAGAAAACCCGCTATACGGTACTATATTACATACATGGTAACCTTCTTGAATAAAGCAATATTTGGGCTCGGGTGGAAAACGTGATAGAGGGTTTTCTTACCCTTGCCGTAAATAGCTTATATTTCCAGACAGTAACCATGTATTTTATATTTATCTATTCGGCAGAAAAATTTTAATATTTCTAAAAAAGTTTATGTGGTGTTGCATTTAATTTTGGTGTGTGTCCTATTTATAACTGATTCCATATGAAAACTCATCACTAGTTAGTATCAATAATGCACCACGCCTTGCTGTCAAAATTGCTTTTAATAATGCCTTATATTGAAATCTATCTTCTATCATTTACTGTGATTGCTGAGTTAAAGCCTTCCTGCTGTCATTTACTTTGAGGATAAATTGAAAGACGTTATTAGTGTTGAATTATCACCCAAGTTAGCTATTGTCATTTGTATTCATTTGTCTGAGATGGAAAATCCTCAAATTGAATGAATTCTTAAAAAGTCATCTTTACATATTTTGTGCTATAAACAATGACAGGTACAGTATAACCTTATTGTCCCATTTTTACAGGTCACCACCACACCCATTCATATCCATACTGACCAATCGGCCCGACTCCTGGCTCCTGTTAGGCCACCAGGTCAACCTCCTCAGCACGGGCAAAGAAAAAAGGTAACTCTAGCCTCTCAGTCACAGACACTTATTTATGGCATCAGGTGCCTATATCTTCTTTATTTTTAGTTCTAAAGGACAAGTAGTATTTACCACGTTAGCAATAGCAGCCATTTTTGGAAGCTGATGGTCCTTAGTGGACATTAAAAGCTGCTTACAATTCAATAAACACCGTTGTCGTTATCAAGTTGCTAGAAACAGCTGACATACAAGAAAACCCACGGAAATCTTAGTGAATAAAAACAAAAAAATCGGAGTAATTTCCTTTGTTATTGATATATGCTCTAGTCTAGAGTAAGATAACTTACAAACGTTTAATCAACTAAGATGAATAATTCTTCTTGGGTCGATTAAATATAGGTTGGTCAGGTCATGTAATAAAGTTAACCTTGTATAACAATATAGGTTCTAGATAACATACAGACATTTGATTATTTTGTTTAGTACTGAGAGAGATAGACCCTTAAGGTAGAGTACCCAATTAACCTCTAGCAGGTCTCTAATGGGACAAAAAAGTCAACAGCAGCTCTTAATTTGTTGTCTATTTATGATCACGTTTCAGAGGGCTTGATAGTAGACCTGCAGTTTAATTTCAATTTAGTGTGTTTTCTATTTAGCTGATGTACAAAGCTCTGAGAGTTAATGATGTCTTATGAATAAAGGCCTAGGAGACATAGCTATAAAATTCTCTTATCATTAGTTGAAGTGGGAAGAACAGAGGATGCAGTTGAAAAACTGGAACTTATAAACAATTATTTTACGCATCTATACATACCCTGTCCTAAGGTTTATTCTGACAGTCCTACTTGTCTGGGTATGACTTTATATATACCCTGTACTAAGGTTTATTCTGACAGTCCTACTTGTCTGGGTACATCTCTATACATAGCCTGTACTAAGGTTTATTCTGACAGTCCTACTTGTCTGGGTATGACTTTATATATACCCTGTACTAAGGTTTATTCTGACAGTCCTATCTGGGTCTGACTCTATACATAGCCTGTACTAAGGTTTATTCTGACAGTCCTATTTGTCTGGGTATGACTCTATACATACCCTGTACTAAGGTTTATTCTGACAGTCCTACTTGTCTGGGTATATACATACCCTGTACTAATCTCGTATACATACAAACATTGTCTAAGGTTTATTCTATGATAAAACCCTAAGGTTTATTCTGACAGTCCTACTTGTCTGGGTATGACTCTATACATACCCTGTACTAAGGTTTATTCTGACAGTCCTACTTGTCTGGGGATTATGTCTCTATACATACCCTGTACTAAGGTTTATTCTGACAGTCCTACCTGTCTGGGTATGACTCTATACATACCCTGTACTAAGGTTTATTCTGACAGTCCTACTTGTCTGGGTATGACTCTATACATACCCTGTACTAAGGTTTATTCTGACAGTCCTACTTGTCTGGGTATGACTCTATACATACCCTGTACTAAGGTTTATTCTGACAGTCCTACTTGTCTGGGTATGACTCTATACATACCCTGTACTAAGGTTTATGACAGTCCTACTTGTCTGGGTATGTCTCTATACATACCCTGTACTAAGGTTTATGACAGTCCTACTTGTCTGGGTTTGACTCTATACATACCCTGTACTAAGGTTTATTCTGACAGTCCTACTTGTCTGGGTTTGACTCTATACATACCCTGTACTAAGGTTTATTCTGACAGTCCTACTTGTCTGGGTATGTCTCTATACATACCCTGTACTAAGGTTTATTCTGACAGTCCTACTTGTCTGGGTATGACTCTATACATACCCTGTACTAAGGTTTATTCTGACAGTCCTACTTGTCTGGGTATGTCTCTATACATACCCTGTACTAAGGTTTATTCTGACAGTCCTACTTGTCTGGGTATGACTCTATACATACCCTGTAGTAAGGTTTATTCTGACAGTCCTACTTGTCTGGGTTTGACTCTATACATACCCTGTACTAAGGTTTATTCTGACAGTCCTACTTGTCTGGGTATGACTCTATACATACCCTGTACTAAGGTTTATTCTGACAGTCCTACTTGTCTGGGTACAAAAATGACTCTATACATACCCTGTACTAAGGTTTATTCTGACAGTCCTACTTGTCTGGGTATGACTCAGTATACATAGCTATACATTACCCTGTTATTAAGGTTTATTCTGACAGTCCTATACATACCCTGTACTAAGGTTTATTCTGACAGTTATACTTGTCTGGGTTTGACTCTATACATACCCTGTACTAAGGTTTATTCTGACAGTCCTACTTGTCTGGGTATGACTCTATACATACCCTGTACTAAGGTTTATTCTGACAGTCCTACTTGTCTGGGTCTGACTCTATACATACCCTGTACTAAGGTTTATTCTGACAGTCCTACTTGTCTGGGTCTGACTCTATACATACCCTGTACTAAGGTTTATTCTGACAGTCCTACCTGTCTGGGTATGACTCTATACATACCCTGTACTAAGGTTTATTCTGACAGTCCTACTTGTCTGGGTCTGACTCTATACATACCCTGTACTAAGGTTTATGACAGTCCTACTTGTCTGGGTATGACTCTATACATACTCTGTACTAAGGTTTATTCTGACAGTCCTACTTGTCTGGGTTTGACTCTATACATACCCTGTACTAAGGTTTATTCTGACAGTCCTACTTGTCTGGGTATGACTCTATACATACTCTGTACTAAGGTTTATTCTGACAGTCCTACTTGTCTGGGTATGACTCTATACATACCCTGTACTAAGGTTTATTCTGACAGACCTACTTGTCTGGGTTTGACTCTATACATACCCTGTACTAAGGGTTTATTTCTGACAGTAATATACCTTGTCTGGGTATGACTCTATACATACCCTGTACTAAGGTTTATTCTGACAGTCCTACTTGTCTGGGTTTGACTCTATACATACCCTGTACTAAGGTTTATTCTGACAGTCCTACTTGTCTGGGTTTGACTCTATACATACCCTGTAGTAAGGTTTATTCTGACAGTTATACTCGTCTGGGTTTGACTCTATACATACCCTGTAGTAAGGTTTATTCTGACAGTCCTACTTGTCTGGGTTTACTCTATACATACCCTGTACCCTGTGACAGTCCTACTTGTCTGGGTATATTGTCATATACATACCCTGTATACCCTAAGGTTTATTCTGACAGTTACTTGTATGACTCTATACATCTGGGTCTGACTCTATACATACCCTGTATAAGGTTTATTCTGACAGTCCTACTTGTCTGGGTATGACTCTATACATAGCCACTAAGGTTTATTCTGACAGTCCCTGTACATACCCTGTAGGCTAAGGTTTATGACAGTCCTAGTCCTACTTGTCTGGGTTGACTCTATACATCTGTACTAAGGTTTATTCTGACAGTTATTGTCTCTATACATACCCTGTCTAAGGTATACTTGTTTACTCTATTACCTGTACTAAGGTTTTCTGACAGTCCTACTTGTCTACTATACATACCCTGTTTTTTCTGACAGTCCTATGTCTCTATACATACCCTGTACTAAGGTTTATTCTGACAGTCCTACTTGTCTGGGTAACTCTATACATACCCTTTAAATGATTCTATACATACCCTGTAGTAAATTACTTGACAGTGAATACATTGTAAAATTACCCTGTACTAAGGATAAATGTATAATACTCTGATACAAATAAGGTTTATTCTGACATACTTGTCTAACATACCCTGTACTAATTTTATCTACTTGTCTGGGTATGACATCTATACATACCCTGTAGTAAGGTTTATTCTGACAGACCTACTTGTTTGGGTTTGACTCTATACATACCCTGTACTAAGGTTTATTCTGACAGACCTATGTCAATAGTATAAGGCTGAATCTAGTGAACATACATACCCTGTACTAAGGTTTTGACAGTGTCTGGGTATGACTCTATACATACCCTGTAGTAAGGTTTATTCTGACATGTCCCTGACACATACCTGTAATAAGGTTTATTCTGACAGTCCTACTTGTCTATTACTCTATACATACCCTGTACTAAGGTTTATTCTGACAGTCCTACTTGTCTGGGTATGACTCTATACATACCCTGTAGTAAGGTTTATTCTGACAGTCCTACTTGTCTGGGTTTGACTCTATACATACCCTGTACTAAGGTTTATTCTGACAGTCCTACTTGTCTGGGTATGTCTCTATACATACCCTGTACTAAGGTTTATTCTGACAGTCCTACTTGTCTGGGTATGACTCTATACATACCCTGTAGTAAGGTTTATTCTGACAGTCCTACTTGTCTGGGTATGTCTCTATACATAGCCTGTACTAAGGTTTATTCTGACAGTCCTACTTGTCTGGGTTTGACTCTATACATACCCTGTACTAAGGTTTATTCTGACAGTCCTACTTGTACTCTATACATACCCTGTACTAAGGTTTATGACTCTGTATGCTATACATACCCTGTACTAAGGTTTATTCTGACAGTTATACTTGTCTGGGTTTGACTCTATACATACCCTGTACTAAGGTTTATTCTGACAGTCCTACTTGTCTGGGTATGTCTCTATACATACCCTGTACTAAGGTTTATTCTGACAGTCCTACTTGTCTGGGTATGACTCTATACATACCCTGTACTAAGGTTTATTCTGACAGTCCTACTTGTCTGGGTATGACTCTATACATACCCTGTAGTAAGGTTTATTCTGACAGTCCTACTTGTCTGGGTATGACTCTATACATACCCTGTACTAAGGTTTATTCTGACAGTCCTACTTGTCTGGGTATGACTCTATACATACCCTGTAGTAAGGTTTATTCTGACAGTCCTACTTGTCTGGGTATGACTCTATACATACCCTGTACTAAGGTTTATTCTGACAGTCCTACTTGTCTGGGTATGTCTCTATCTATACATAATATACCCTGTACTAAGGTTTATTCTGACAGTCCTACTTGTCTGGGTAAGTCAGTATACATACCCTGTACTAAGGTTTATTCTGACAGTCCTACTTGTCTGGGTATGACTCTATACATACCCTGTACTAAGGTTTATTCTGACAGTCCTACTTGTCTGGGTATGACTCTATACATACCCTGTAGTAAGGTTTATTCTGACAGTCCTACTTGTCTGGGTATGTCTCTATACATACCCTGTACTAAGGTTTATTCTGACAGTTATACCTGTCTGGGTTTGACTCTATACATACCCTGTACTAAGGTTTATGACAGTTATACCTGTCTGGGTTTGACTCTATACATAGCCTGTACTAAGGTTTATGACAGTCCTACTTGTCTGGGTTTGACTCTATACATACCCTGTACTAAGGTTTATGACAGTCCTACTTGTCTGGGTATGACTCTATACATACCCTGTACTAAGGTTTATTCTGACAGTCCTACTTGTCTGGGTCTGACTCTATACATACCCTGTACTAAGGTTTATGACAGTCCTACTTGTCTGGGTATGACTCTATACATACCCTGTACTAAGGTTTATTCTGACAGTCCTACTTGTCTGGGTATGTCTCCATACATACCCTGTACTAAGGTTTATTCTGACAGTTATACTTGTCTGGGTTTGACTCTATACATACCCTGTACTAAGGTTTATTCTGACAGTCCCTACTGGGTTAAGGTTTATTCTGGGTTCTATACATACCCTGTAAGGTTTAACTTGGTATATTGGGTATGTCTCTATACATACCCTGTACTAAGGTTTCCTGACAGTCCTACTTGTCTGTAACTCTATACATACCCTGTACTAAGGGGTACTTGTCTGACTCTATACATACCCTGTACTAAGATTTATTCTGACAGTCCTACTTGTCTGGGTTTGACTCTATACATACCCTGTACTAAGGTTTATTCTGACAGTCCTACTTGTCTGGGTACATACCCTTGTCCTACTTGTCTATACATACCCTGTACTAAGGTTTATTCTGACAGTCCTACTTGTCTGGGTATGACTCTATACATACCCTGTACTAAGGTTTATTCTGACAGTTATACTTGTCTGGGTATGACTCTATACATACCCTGTACTAAGGTTTATGACAGTCCTACTTGTCTATGACTCTATACATACCCTGTACTAAGGTTTTTCTGACAGTCCTACTTGTCTATACATTGACTCTATACATACCCTGTACTAAGGTTTATTCTGACAGTCCTACTTGTCTGGGTATGTCTCCATACATACCCTGTACTAAGGTTTATTCTGACAGTCCTACTTGTCTGGGTATGACTCTATACATACCCTGTACTAAGGTTTATTCTGACAGTCCTACTTGTCTGGGTTTGACTCTATACATACCCTGTACTAAGGTTTATGACAGACCTACTTGTCTGGGTATGACTCTATACATACCCTGTACTAAGGTTTATTCTGACAGTCCTACTTGTCTGGGTATGTCTCTATACACATCCTGTACTAAGGTTTATTCTGACAGTCCTACCTGTCTGGGTATGTCTCTATACATAGCCTGTACTAAGGTTTATTCTGACAGTCCTACTTGTGTGGGTATGACTCTATACATACCCTGTACTAAGGTTTATTCTGACAGTCCTACTTGTCTGGGTATGTCTCTATACATACCCTGTACTAAGGTTTATTCTGACAGTCCTACTTGTCTGGGTTTGACTCTATACATACCCTGTACTAAGGTTTATGACAGTCCTACTTGTCTGGGTATGACTCTATACATACCCTGTAGTAAGGTTTATTCTGACAGTCCTACTTGTCTGGATATGACTCTATACATACCCTGTACTAAGGTTTATTCTGACAGTCCTACCTGTCTGGGTTTGACTCTGTACATAGCCTGTACTAAGGTTTATTCTGACAGTCCTACTTGTCTGGGTATGTCTCTATACATACCCTGTACTAAGGTTTATTCTGACAGTCCTACTTTTCTGGGTATGTCTCTATACATACTCTGTACTAAGGTTTATTCTGACAGTCCAACTTGTCTGGGTATGTCTCTATACATACCCTGTACTAAGGTTTATTCTGACAGTCCTACTTGTCTGGGTTTGACTCTATACATACCCTGTACTAAGGTATAGTGTGACAGACCTACTTGTCTGGGTATGTCTCTAAACATACACTGTACTAAGGTTAAACCTATTTTTACTTACATGTCAATAGAAATTATTTTAATAAAGAGAATCTCAATGTTGTCTATCACCTTTTGGGACAATTTAACCCTTGTATACCAGGTAATTTATAAATGTTGTAGTCATAATGCTGATCATGCAGATTATACAAAATGTATGAAATAAAGATTGCTTTTTCCAGTTACAAATGATAGCGTTCATAAAATATTCAGGTAAAAACAATTACTTTTATTGGCATTTTTCATTGTTTGCAGATTATTATTATTCCTGACAAATATATAAAAAATAGGATTTATAAACTGCACCCATGAGATGTTTCTTTTCCTGGAATAGCTATGATTGAGTTATTATGGTATTTATTCTGATACATATTAACAATGAAAGAAAAGTATTTTATAGTTTGAATTACCATTTCTGTATGAATGTCATACATATTTCATGAATCAAGGATGCAAGAATCATTCGATACAGAAGTAAAATTTTCAGTTAATAAAAGTATAACTTAAAATTTAAAGAATTATATTTTTTGTGTTGCAATGTGTTATGATCGATGTATTAAAACCTTTATGATCGATGAGACTAAAATAAAGTATTAAATTGTTTCAGAAGAAAGACTTCCATACAATCAAATAAATAGTATCATTTAAGAAATCAATATTGTGCAGGATGACAATACATGCAATTTAATTTTGCTTCAAGTTGCAGCTTATAAATAATTCTTCCATCCTAAATATGAAGTTTCTCTGCTGTCCTTGAAATAGTTATTTGTAATTTAAATTCTGTAACAGAATTTCTGTCATCATTTAAATTGCTCATATTGCTGAGGGTCTTAATGTTTCATCAATGAAAGGGAATATTTTTAAGGTAATTCCCCTGGTATATTTTAAATTTAAATTTATGAGGATAAAATGTGTGATCTGTAGCTTACAATGGCTGCAACGTTATTGTTGACAAACCAATTTCGTAGAATCGTTCGTGTATCGTGTGTTTGCGTTAGCAATTGTATGAAGATCATGTAACATGTAGAATCGTGTGCGTGAAGGATCGTTAGTGTAACAGGTTTAGTTGTACGTTCATCATGTTGAATAGTTCGTGTAACGTGATCGTTCATGTAAGTTGTCAACAATAACGAAAATAATCAAAAGGAATTATTCATTCTTAACAATTTGTTTTAGAATTCAAAGTCTAGCTGTTGAGATATTGGAACCATTCATGAAGTTTGTTTTTGCTGAACCACTGGACAGCCCACAGTATCAACCAATGAAAATGTGCCTACAGAGGGAGCTACTATGCGTAGCCAGCCAATCAGATGATAGCAGAACTGTTGAACAAATCTTGGGATTTATTGCCAATATTTTGCCTTGTCTACAGGTATATTTAGTTACCGTACAGGGCTCGACATTAACTTTTTTCCAAACTTGTCCATTCGGACAAGTGACCAAGATATTTACTTGTCCGAAAATATTTCAATGAATATCTTATTCTATCAACTTGAAAACAATTACTTAAATTAATAAAATAAATGTGCTTGATTTATTAGTTTTGTTATTGATAAATAAGACGAACACATATAAAACAAAATTTTATCTAGACTTCCTGTCCTGACATCAACATAAATGTTCGCAAGTGAATCTGTAATATCAATCAAATATATTCCTAACACTCAAACATTGTATTAAAGATTCACGCCATGCAATAGTATTGCTGCAATTAGTGAACATCGATCCTGATCAAGTGTGAACTTGCATAGCAATGGATATCGGGATCAAAATTCAGGATTATGTACTGCTTCCGTTTTTATCCGACAAACTTTTCAATAGGTTTTTTTTAAAATTATTGTTATTATTTGAAGACTTCTTTACATAAAAAATCACTTGTCTAATCGGACAAGTGCCCAGCAATATTCACTTGTCCGTAATTTTTTTTCATTGGTACCGGACAAGCGGACAAGTGTTAATGTCGAGCCCTGCCGTATATACTAGCCTATAAGTCGGTTGTATTTTTGAAACTTATGTTAGAAAGATTGACCTTCTAAAATACCAATCTTTTTATATCTCGCCTATAAGTTGGACATACAGTTTTGGACAAAAGTTTAACTCCCAAAAATCTGACTTATAGGCGAGTATATACGGTAACTTAACATGTAGCAAATAGCAATGCAAGATTTTACTACAAAGAAATGAAAGGTCAGGTGAGACTAAATACAGAAAAGTACAGAGCACAGACAACAAAGGAAAAATGTACAAGAGAATCTAGTATGAAGTAGCAAGAAATAGTCATAAAACAGCATTCCAGTTAGGATCTGAAAATGGAGGAGTGCAAGAGCAGGGCACTTTTTCTTGTCTTATCGTTTGACGCAAGCTTTTGTTACATAGGCATATCTCATTACTTCACCCTTGTAATAATGAATTCCTTGATAAACATAGTTTCAACTATACCTAAGTAATGTAAAAATATAAAAAAAATTAGAATTTCAATTAAAAATCGTCTTAATTTGAATAGAGAGGGGATTACCGGTAGTAGTGAAAATTAATAACAATTCTGTAAAAGTAAGTTTTTACTTCTGTATTGTAATAGGAAGGGAGAAAATGTATGGCTGGACTGGGAGTTGAACCCGGAACCCCTGCATCTCCAGTCAGGTGCTCTACCAACTGAGCTATCCAGGCCGATATCCATAGCCCACACCATTACATTCCTCCCTCCTTAAATCGTCTTTGCCCTCCTCGAAGACACAACCCAAGTTCTTATTACCCCCTGGCAGGACTTTCACCTGCAATTCCAGGGTTGGTCAAGGGCACCAAATCTGTAATAGGAGGGGAGAAAATGTACGGCTGGACCGGGAATCGAAATCGGGACCCCTGCACCTCCAGTCAGGTGCTCTACCAACTGAGCTATCCAGGCCGATATTTGCGGCCCAAACCATTACAATATTTTCTGTCAGTATGTCTGCTCTGTCTGTCACTTAGTAATTTGAAAAACCAAAGCTCCTTAGGCAGAGACATGTAATTTTGTTCAAATTTCTGAACCCCACAGGGTACATGGCAGGGTGCAACAAAAGTTGATCAAAGTTTAACTTGGGAATATATTGTATGAAAAAAAGGTAAGCATTGTAACCCATGGGTCTCTGTTACTTATTATAGACAAATTTCATAAGATTTAGTGAACCAACAGCTAAGGCATTGACTTTGGAGACAGTGTTAATTAGGAATTATGTTTGGTTAACCTTTATTGATTAATTATGTTGTTTTATTGCAACTCACTTCATTTTGTATACTAGATAGACATGCTGCACCCACAGTTAACTGTCGATGTCTAGGTTTGCACCTGTGCTGTGAAAAACAGTGTGGAATTTGATGTTTGGTTTTCTGGTTACTGTTGTTATTAATTATTAAAAATATGGCCTGGAAGAAAGGTTTTGTTTTTAAGGTATCTGTATATTGAATACTGTCTGTAAACATCAGACCTCAAGTGTTAATAAACTTCTGAACATCTTCAGCTTCTGCCCTGGAATGGCTGAACCAGTTTCTATCAAATTTGGTATATAGCATTTATGGGTGAACAGAAATAAAAGTTATGAATTTTATAACTCCATCTCTACCTCCCTAGGCTAAAATACCAAAGCAATGATCCCCTTACCTTAAGAATTAATTATTCAGTTTTTAACTATTTAAATCATTAATTCTTACAGGAAAGATATTTGACCTTGTACAAATAATATAATCTTGTACACATATTCTACTTTAAGAGACAATGATATGTCAAATGAAAAAAAAAAACCCAGGATTATCATGTAAAAGTATTATTATTTGATATCGGTGTCTTGACCTATTATACAAGGAGAGGGTGTACATAGGCCTTGCCTGTTGCCCAATCCTTATTGTATTATTCAATAAAACATTTTAAGGTAGTCTGATCCTCAGGTTTATGAAATTAGCAGTTGAGTAATCAAAAATACTCATAAAAGTATCTCTGTATCCACAAAGTTATGTAAATTTATCCACAGTATTTCTTTAAAGTTAAAGATTAACTTTAATCTTATTATATAAGGAAAATTGTCAAATCTCCTATATTTTTGCAGAAAAAGTGAATTTGAATATCAGCAATGCATTTTCTAATTGCAAATTGATCAACAAATATATATTCTAGGTTAAAAAATGACAGGTATCCAGGTATTCAGAGAAATTGTCATGATTTTTATACTTGTTTGGTATTTTTGGTCTTCTATTTTTGTCATGTATTCTATCATACATAGTGTAAAATGCTTTTCCTATCATTGCAAGACACCACAAACCACTTCTCATTTCATATCATACTAATAACCATTGGTATCTAAGGCTGGATTCAAGAAAATCTTATTTATCTAAAACTGTATTATTTTTTTCTCCTTTTAAAGGGTACAAATGTCAACTTTTATAAGACCTTTTTTGTCCCCCGCTTTCGCGAAAGCGAGGGGACATTAAATCTCATTCGTCTGTCTGTCTGTCCGTCAGTCTGTCTGTCACAAAAACTTTAACCTTGCTCATAACTTTTGATTTAGTGGAGCTATGACTTTCATATTTCACATGTGTATTCCCTCTGACAAGACCTTTCTTTGGGTACCACCAAATTTGACCTTTTGACCTTGACCTTGGAGTGTGAACCACTTTTACACAAAAATTCCAAACTTTTATTTTGGCCATAACTTTTGAATAGAAGGTACTAGGACTTTCATATTTCACATATGTATTGTTTGTGGCAAAATCTTTCATTTGATAACAACAACCTTGACCTTTTGACCTTGATCTTGGAGATTTACGTACTTATGAAAAAACTTTAACCTTGACCATAAATTTTGAACGGTGAGGACTAAGGCTTTCATACTTCACATATGTAATTCTTGTGAGAAGACCTTTCATTGGATACCAATAACTTTAACCCTTTGACCTTGACCTTGGAGTTTTAATTACTTTTTAAAAACTTTAACATTGGTCACAACTTTTAAACAGTAGATACTAGGACTTTTATATTTCACATATGTATTCCTTGTGGCAAGACATTTCATTGGATACCAACAACCTTGACCTTTTGACCTTGACCTTGAAGATTTACGTACTTATGGAAAAACTTTAAACTTGACCATAAATTTTGAACGGTGAGGGCTAAGGCTTTCGTACTTCACATATGTAATCCTTGTGAAAAAACCTTTCATTGGATATCAACAACTTTGACCCTTTGATCTTGACCTTGGAGTTGACCTACTTTTAAAAAACTTTTTTACTTTGGCCATAACTTTTTAACAGTCAGGATTAGGTTTTCCATCCTTAAAAAAATCAACTTCAATGTTACTTTCTAAATAAATGACATATGATAGGATGTTCATATTACACACAATATGTCATAAAAAATAACATCTCACCCACAAAGACACCGAAAGCGGGGGACCACAATTCTTTGAATTTGCTTGTTAAGACTTACAGAAACCTTGAATCTTATAAAGATGTATAAAATGAAAATTGTTGCGTGAAAAAAATTCATTTTCAAGCTTCATTTTGATGCATTTCAAATTAAATATTAATTTTTGGAGTTATCCTTCCTGGCTGAGGATTGGATATCCTTAAAGTACAGAACATAATGAAATGGGAATGAAAATAGAGGTCAGAGTTCACAATGAAACAGAATACACAGGTGTTCGATTAGACAGTTTTCACTGTGATTCATATTTTTGAATATTGAATGTTAATTCAGTTACCCTTCTGATTTCTAGGATTTTCCGAGCACTTAATCCCTTGCATATTTAATTTTTTCTGTAGATAAAAGACAAGAATTCCTTAGGAAATGCTGCTCAGTTTGTTATGGGAGTTGTTGACGTATGTCTTACCAGAATTCTGAGAGAGGATGCAAACTTCCAGAAAATACTGACATACCTGGTGGATTTGTGCTGGGAGTTTCTCAGCCATTCTCTTGATGTCTCTATAATTATGCATTACCTAGTCAAGGCTGCAGAAATGGCCCCCATGGTATGTAGTCTTTTTTTTGTAACAGTTGCCTTGCAATGAATATAATTATCTGTATCATCTACAATAAACCAGCTTTTATTTATGCATGCAAGTAATTGTCATAAGAGATTATTGACCCATACTTACAAATTTTTGTCTCGGTAATTAATAATAATGGTTTTGTTTTGCCAGCCACTTTCCAACATCATGATAAATACTTTGACAGTGTCAAAATTTATGAATTTTAACTATCCAGTAAATGTGATACATGTATAAACATCCCAGAAATTTGAATGTCATTTGATTTTTTGGATCAAATTTTTACTTATAATATTTGTGTAGTAAAAAATAATTGGGCAAGGCATTGTAATGGCTGAATCTGACCCCTAATTTGAAGCAAAATCAGAATATACCCAGTAGTTAAAATTGAGATAGTTTGTAGTTGATAACTTAAAATGATACTTGTTTTAGAAGCAGTATTAACTTGGATTCAGAGCTTACACAGAGGCCACAAGAGGGTCAAAAGTAATTTCCTCAATTCTGGTGGAATTTGTCAAATTTTAAACACTTTTCACCTGGAAAACATTGACCACATTAGTTTGCCTTTTTGAGATTTTTATACACAAGATGCATCAGATAGTAGTTTATGAAATAATTGTAACTTTGGAAGAAAGGTGAACTTGGTGTTCTATATTATCTGATACAAGATATGCTTTAAAATCAAGGGAAAGTTGCATATACAGGTCGACATATCAGAGTATTTGCAAATCATTTATATAATAAATAATGCCGGGACCGCGGACGGACGTGGACATATCCCATGTTGTCGACATATCTGATGTCGAGATACCGAAGTTTTCCCGTAAATGATAAATTTCCAAATTGACATATTTCTTGACCTTCAAGTGACCTTAATGTATCCCATAACTTAGAACCAATGCTCCCTTTGTGAAAGACATTTGCCCTTTTAAAAACTTGTCTTCCCACAAACTTTTAAAATTTTTGCAATCCATAATGATTAAGAAAACACTGATGATTCCTATTTTGTCATTTAACAAACTCTGTTTCTGTTGCCGTAGGCTTTGTCTTCAGACAGCAACCTGATCTCTATGGGAAGTCTACTTTTGAAAACTGACATAACAGATGCTGTTGTTTTACTGACAGCAGGTATTTTATAGTTTTATTTTAAAAACACTTTATAAATTGAGAGAGAGAAAGAGAAAGAGAGAGAAAGATCAAAAACAAGAGGGCTACCAGTATATATGATAGTTAAAGTTGAAATCAAGCCTTTGTTAAATTTAGATTGTTGAAATCATTGTCAGGACATTATTTGGGTGGTCTATCCCTACATCAGGAAAAGAATTAAGAGCAATTGGGGCTCTCGGATCTCTGGTATCAAATTTATCCATTGAAAAATATTAAATACAGATCAGATGGATAGCATGTATAACATTTATAATTTCAGTCAAGAAAATTTTGGAATCTGATTCAAGAAACGTGAGCTTGGTAGCCATTGCCTCCCTCATTCTGCCGATTCTACAGATTCTGTCAGTGTCTAGCGCAGGGTCAAGGTCACGAGAATTAAAATCGGCCATCTCTTTATCTGGAGACGTCCTCAAAATCATTGAGGACAAACTGGTGAAAACACAACAGAGTGGAGCAAAACAGGTGAGGCTATTAATAGATCAGGGTGTTTTAAATAAATTTTGGCCTTTACCATGCACAGCTAGTGACTTGACCTGACAGAGGAGCTTGTAAATTAGCATATAGACGATTCTTCTCACTTTTATGTTATGATAGACCACAGAAGCAATCAGTGCCTGACCCAAAAAACACACAGAACTCTAAGAAAAATAATAAAACCTTACTGTTTGAATCCTAAGATTAAACAAAAAAAACCTTTTAAATAAATGATAACCTTACTGTACTAAGATTAAACCAGAAAAAATGTGTTCTTAATGAAAGTTTCTCATCTTCAAGGTGACCTTTTAGTTTATTATTTTCAAAGTGGACATTAATATTTAATAATTATGTCAGTTGGAAATCATTTCTTGGCCAAGATTTATTTGCTCATTAACATTTTTTCTCACATTCATTAACATGTCTTAATATTCAGTGACTGACCTAATTTTAAAAAAAAATTAATAACTTTTCAATGGGAAAAAATAGGGCATTCATGCATATTTCACACACATGTGAATTGCCTTGACCAGACCTTTCTGTATACTTTATGATTTTTGTTTTTTGACATGCCATCATGACCTTGAAGTTAAACCTACCTTTTCAAAATTTTAACATTGTTAGTAACTTTGAATGAGATTAGACAGGCCTTCCATATATTCACACATGCATCATTTTAAGGTCTTTTGACCTTGACCTAGAACTTTGACCTTTTTTCCAAAAGTTAACTTTGACTATCTTTAGCATCAGAATAGAAAGGTTTTTTTTATTTTATCTCTACTGGTCAGAGACCAGAAGAACTCATGCAATAGTAAGGTGTCCGTTGTCCATCCATCTATCTGTCCATTTGTCTGCAAGTAATTTTTCAAAATGCTACTCCTGTAGTTTTGGTCCAATTTCAATATAATTTGGCATACAAGTAGACTACACTAAGAGACATATAATAGTTTTTGATTTTGATGAATGGTGTTGCTGTGGTTGCTAAAAATAGAAAAAATTTTGATATACTATCAAAATGCTTCTCCTCCTGCAAGTTTTATGCTCTTTTCCAGAAAATTCTCACCATGAATGTCACTTACACAAAGCAGGTACATGTACTGTTGATATCTGCTTGGTATTTTCATCCTAAAGTCATGATAACTTTGTTAAGGAAACATAAGACCTGGGTTCCAAAGGGGTGGAAGTGATATTTCTTACACATTATAATATTTTGAATTTTTTTTTTATTCAGTGATTATCTTATAGAGAAATGATTAATTGTTATATTAGAAAATAGAGATCATGTTTTCATTATTGTTTATCTACTTCTCCACATTTTGTGACTTTTTTTTATTATTAAGGAAGATAAGCGTTCCTTTTTTTCTTTGTAGAAGACATCTCAGTTTACCCCACACCTGACATCCTTCACCTTTGTGAATGAAAATTTTTCATTTCTGGCTCGAGTATTGGAAAAGGAGGAGGAGGACTTTCCCCGACTGTGGCTCCAGAACTTGGTCAATTCTGTCTCCAGACTGAAGCTTGTGCCAGTCCAGTTGTCCATCACTGTATCTGCTCTCTTTGTGTTGTCACCAGGGAAACCCTGGGCTGACCAATCACTGAGGGCCTTACAAGCAATCTCCAAGGCTGATCATAAACAGGTACCATTCTAAGGTCCCAAAATGTTACTTTGGTTTATTTAGAAGTTATCCTGTCTGTTTGTCTGTCTGTCAGGTTTATGATCTTAACCTGAATGAATTTTTAGAGAGGAAATAAGAGAAGGGGGTAAGGATGAGTGTAGCTGTGAGTGTAATGGGCAGCTGTACTTATAAATCTCTGTCTGACATTATTTGGGAAAAGAAATTATAAAACATGTGAAGCACCTGTACTTGAACTTCATTCCAAGATAAACATGTTCTGAAGAACATAATGGGCTGCAGTGAATATTATGGCTCTGTACATGGGCCTCTTGTTAGAGGAGATGACAATCCTCATATGCATTAGGTTGTTGGTCTAAGACAAAAAACAGAAAGGGCATCTGCTCCCTCAATTACTTTGTTTACTTGTTTACTGCTGTAAAAGTTTTTTGTTTTTATATAAATAGGATGGGCTCTTTTTGTATTGGAGTTGCATTCTCAAGACAAATGTAAAAAACTCAATTAGACAGTGTAAAGGAAGTGGGGATAATTAGTTTATACTTCTAATACAATTGAGAGTGGGGATAGTTAGTTTATACTTATACTCAGTCTGATACAATTGAGAGTGCATGAGGATAGTTAGTTTATACTTATACTCAGTCTAATACAATTGAGAGTGCATGGGGATAGTTAATTTATACTTATACTCAGTCTAATTCAATTGAGAGTGGGGATAGTTAGTTTATACTTATACTTAGTCTAATACAATCGAGAGTGGGGATAGTTAGTTTATACTTATACTCAGTCTAATACAATTGAGAGTGGGGATAGTTAGTTTATACTTATACTCAGTCTAATACAATTGAGAGTGGGGATAGTTAGTTTATACTTATACTCAGTCTAATACAATTGAGAGTGGGGATAGTTAGTTTATACTTATACTCAGTCTAATACAATCGAGAGTGGGGATAGTTAGTTTATACTTATACTCAGTCTAATACAATGGAGAGTGGGGATAGTTAGTTTATACTTATACTCAGTCTAATACAATGGAGAGTGGGGATAGTTAGTTTATACTTATACTCAGTCTAATACAATTGAGAGTGGGGATAGTTAGTTTATACTTATACTCAGTCTAATACAATCGAGAGTGGGGATAGTTAGTTTATACTTATACTCAGTCTGATACAATTGAGAGTGGGGATAGTTAGTTTATACTTATACTCTGTCTGATACAATTGAGAGTGGGGATAGTTAGTTTATACTTATACTCAGTCTGATACAATTGAGAGTGGGGATAGTTAGTTTATACTTATACTTAGTCTAATACAATCGAGAGTGGGGATAGTTAGTTTATACTTATACTCAGTCTAATACAATTGAGAGTGGGGATAGCTAGTTTATACTTATACTTAGTCTAATACAATCGAGAGTGGGGATAGTTAGTTTATACTTATACTCAGTCTAATACAATTGAGAGTGGGGATAGTTAGTTTATACTTATACTCAGTCTAATACAATTGAGAGTGGGGATATTTAGTTTATACTTATACTCAGTCTAATACAATTGAGAGTGGGGATAGTTAGTTTATACTTATACTCAGTCTAATACAATTGAGAGTGGGGATAGCTAGTTTATACTTATACTTAGTCTAATACAATCGAGAGTGGGGATAGTTAGTTTATACTTATACTCAGTCTAATACAATTGAGAGTGGGGATAGTTAGTTTATACTTATACTCAGTCTAATACAATTGAGAGTGGGGATAGTTAGTTTATACTTATACTCAGTCTAATACAATTGAGAGTGGGGATAGTTAGTTTATACTTATACTCAGTCTAATACAATCGAGAGTGGGGATAGTTAGTTTATACTTATACTCAGTCTTATACAATTGAGAGTGGGGATAGTTAGTTTACACTTATACTCAGTCTGATACAATTGAGAGTGGGGATAGTTAGTTTATACTTATACTCAGTCTGATACAATTGAGAGTGGGGATAGTTAGTTTATACTTATACTTAGTCTAATACAATCGAGAGTGGGGATAGTTAGTTTATACTTATACTCAGTCTAATACAATTGAGAGTGGGGATAGCTAGTTTATACTTATACTTAGTCTAATACAATCGAGAGTGGGGATAGTTAGTTTATACTTATACTCAGTCTAATACAATCGAGAGTGGGGATAGTTAATTTATACTTATACTCAGTCTAATACAATCGAGAGTGGGGATAGTTAGTTTATACTTATACTCAGTCTAATACTATTGAGAGTGGGGATAGTTAGTTTATACTTATACTCAGTCTAATACTATTGAGAGTGGGGATAGTTAGTTTATACTTATACTTAGTCTAATACAATTGAGAGTGGGGATAGTTAATTTATACTTATACTCAGTCTAATACAATGGAGAGTGGGGGTAGTTAGTTTATACTTATACTCAGTCTAATACAATTGAGAGTGGGGATAGTTAGTATATACTTATACTCAGTCTAATACAATTGAGAGTGGGGATAGTTAGTTTATACTTATACTCAGTCTAATACAATTGAGAGTGGGGATAGTTAGTATATACTTATACTCAGTCTAATACAATTGAGAGTGGGGATAGTTAGTATATACTTATACTCAGTCTAATACAATCGAGAGTGGGGATAGTTAGTTTATACTTATACTCAGTCTAATACAATGGAGAGTGGGGATAGTTAGTTTATACTTATACTCAGTCTAATACAATGGAGAGTGGGGATAGTTAGTTTATACTTATACTCAGTCTAATACAATGGAGAGTGGGGATAGTTAGTTTATACTTATACGCAGTCTAATACAATTGAGAGTTGGGATAGTTAGTTTATACTTATACTCAGTCTAATACAATAGTTAGTATATACTTATACTCAGTCTAATACAATTGAGAGTGGGGATAGTTAGTATATACTTATACTCAGTCTAATACAATCGAGAGTGGGGATAGTTAGTATATACTTATGCTCAGTCTAATACAATCGAGAGTGGGGATAGTTAGTTTATACTTATACTCAGTCTAATACAATGGAGAGTGGGGATAGTTAGTTTATACTTATACTCAGTCTAATACAATGGAGAGTGGGGATAGTTAGTTTATACTTATACTCAGTCTAATACAATTGAGAGTGGGGATAGTTAGTTTATACTTATACTCAGTCTAATACAATTGAGAGTGGGGATAGTTAGTATATACTTATACTCAGTCTAATACAATCGAGAGTGGGGATAGTTAGTATATACTTATACTCAGTCTAATACAATCGAGAGTGGGGATAGTTAGTTTATACTTATACTCAGTCTAATACAATGGAGAGTGGGGATAGTTAGTTTATACTTATACTCAGTCTAATACAATTGAGAGTGGGGATAGTTAGTTTATACTTATACTCAGTCTAATACAATCGAGAATGGGGATAGTTAGTTTATACTTATACTCAGTCTTATACAATTGAGAGTGGGGATAGTTAGTTTATACTTATACTCAGTCTAATACAATTGAGAGTGGGGATAGTTAGTTTATACTTATACTCAGTCTAATACAATTGAGAGTGGGGATAGTTAGTTTATAAGTCTCTTATTCTTAGACTCATACAATTGAGAATGGGGACATTACCATTTATGTTTTTCTGTCTTTAAATATGAAATTTGAACGAGATCATAAAAACACTGATTCTACATTAGCTTTAAATTCCTGGATAAACTAGGCTTAATTTCGGGGACCTATAAATTCTAGATTGCCTCTTGTTCTCTACAGGCCTCCAGTTATTGGACAGGATAATTTACAGTGTTGATTTACCTCAAATAGAACACCAGAAATTGTTTTTCTTACATCCTGTAAATTATTGTCAGCTTCTGTATGATAGGGAAATTAAAACACAAGACTTTATAGACACAAGGGTTAGATAGTGGAGGGTTTTTATTGCTATGCTGGCTGATTAAATTCTGTATTATTGGAATCCAATCCCAATCCTATTTTCAATTTTGTCTTGTTTATACTTCCTGCCCAATTAAGATTCTATACAATAAAAAAACATTGTTAATTTCTATCTGTTATCCCCCCTCACAACAGAGTTGGAAATGATGTATTGTAACAAAAATGCAAGCTTGTGTTTGTGATGGGGAAGGGGGGTGGGGTAGTTTTTCCATTTGTGTTTAACAGAATTGTCATAATTTTTACCAGAATGGCTGGCAAATGCTTCCTTGATTTAAATAGATATACTTTAATTTTGTCATTTTTTGTGGGATCTTCAAATATTAAAATCAATGAAATCAGAGAAATGAAATGAATGAGGGGATAATAAATCGTAACATACAGTATTTTGCTTTTTCTAAGTTTAGATATTGAGTTGTGTACAACTTGATTTGAGATTTTGGTCAACTTCATTCACTACAGCTACATAAGCTTGAATTATATCTACCTATAGTGAAGTTACAACTTAACACTATTAACGATTCCATATTTATTCTCAGTTATTTCCAAGCATAGATGTAAACATTTACTTATCATAGGCACTAGTACAATCACTATATTCAGCCTGAATTACCGATATGACAGTGAATCTTCCATTTCCTGTTTTTTGAGTTCTGGGTATGTTTTGGGTGAAAGGTACATGTTCTTGAAGTGATCGACCTATATACTAATGGGATAGGCAACTCCTTCAGCTCCATCTTTATTTACCTAAAACATCACGCACAACACTACAAGTGTTTTCAAACTACGTTTATTTAATGTAATCTGTTCCTTTTGTATATTGTAATGTATTTTTAAAAACTTTTAATTTAAAGCATACATTATAATTTAAATATTAATCACACAAACACCAATATTGTCAAATTCATGAAATACAGCCGATCACGGATCAGAAACATGTTGATTTTGAAATAAATGCACTTATTACTAAGATAAGGTAATTATAAAAAGAAATATTGGTTAAGAAATGATAAGGTGGTAAACATAATCCTTTTATATATAGGAACAACTGACCTCAAAAAAGTTCATTTTGAAAGATGTTTTACAAAATAATTATTTTTTTACATAGGCATGCTACTTTTTACCCCTGTACATCTACCAGCTGAACAAGTGCATCCACCCAGAGTACAAGCTCAGTATCATGAAGGCTGTCCCTAGCGTAGCGCAACACAAGGTAAAGATTAAAGTACAAAGCATTCTACTGTACATGTAGCTCAACACAAGGTAAAGATTAAGTCAATTAATGAACAAAGTGTTCTACTGTACATGTAGCTCAACACAGGGTAAAGATTAAGTCATTTAAAGTACAAAGCATTCTACTGTACATGTAGCTCAACACAAAGTAAAGATTAAGTCAAAGTACAAAGTATTCTACGTACTGTACATATAGCTCAACACAGGGTAAAGATTAAGTCAATTAATGAACAAAGTATTCCACTGTACATGTAGCTCAAAACAGGGTAAAGATTAAGTCAAAGTACAAAGTATTCTACTGTACATGTAGCTCAACACAAGGTAAGGATTAAATCAATTAATGAACAAAGCATTCTACTGTACATGTAGCTCAACACAGGGTAAAGATTAACTAACTTAAGTCATTTAAAGTACAAAGTATTCTACATGTAGCCCAACACAGGGTAAAGATTAAGTCAAAGTACAAAGTATTCTACTGTACATGTAGCTCAACACAAGGTAAGGATTAAGTCAATTAATGAACAAAGAATTCTACTGTACATGTAGCTCAACACAGGGTAAAGATTAACTAACATAATTAAGTCAATTAAAGTACAAAGTATTCTACATGTAGCTCAACACAGGGTAAAGATTAAGTCAATTAAAGTACAAAGTATTCTACTGTACATGTAGCTCAACACAAGGTAAGGATTAAGTCAATTAAAGTACAAAGTATTCTACTGTACATGTAGCTCAACACAAGGTAAAGATTAAGTCAATTACAGTACAAAGTATTCTACTGTACATGTAGCTTAGCTCAACACAAAGTAAAGATTAAGTCAATTAAAGTATAAAGTATTCTACTGTACATGTAGCTCAACACAAGGTAAAGATTAAGTCAATTACAGTACAAAGTATTCTACTGTACATGTAGCTTAGCTCAACACAAAGTAAAGATTAAGTCAGTTAAAGTATAAAGTATTCTACTGTACATGTAGCTCAACACAGGGTAAATATTAAGTCAATTACAGTACAAAGTATTCTACTGTACATGTAGGTCAACAAGGTTAATGATTAAGTCAATTAAAGTACAGAGTATTCTACTGTACATGTAGCTTAGCTCAACACAAGGTAAAGATTAAGTCAAAGTACAAAGTATTCTACTGTACATGTAGCTCAACACAAGGTAAAGATTAAGTCAAAGTACAAAGTGTTCTACTGTACATGTAGCTCAACACAAGGTAAAGATTAAGTCAATTAAAGTACAAAGTGTTCTACTGTACATGTAGCTTAGCTCAACACAAAGTAAAGATTAAGTCAATTAAAGTATAAAGTATTCTACTGTACATGTAGGTCAACACAAGGTAAAGATTAAGTCAATTAAAGTACAAAGTATTCTACTGTACATGTAGCTCAAAACAGGGTAAAGATTAAGTCAAAGTACAAAGTATTCTACTGTACATGTAGCTCAACACAAGGTAAGGATTAAATCAATTAATGAACAAAGCATTCTACTGTACATGTAGCTCAACACAGGGTAAAGATTAACTAACTTAAGTCAATTGAAGTACAAAGTATTCTACATGTAGCCCAACACAGGGTAAAGATTAAGTCAATTAAAGTACAAAGTATTCTACTGTACATGTAGCTCAACACAAGGTAAGGATTAAGTCAATTAATGAACAAAGAATTCTACTGTACATGTAGCTGAACACAGGGTAAAGATTAAGACAATTAAAGTACAAAGTATTCTACTGTACATGTAGCTCAACACAAGGTAAGGATTAAGTCAATTAATGAACAAAGAATTCTACTGTACATGTAGCTCAACACAGGGTAAAGATTAACTAACTTAATTAAGTCAATTAAAGTACAAAGTATTCTACATGTAGCTCAACACAGGGTAAAGATTAAGTCAATTAAAGTACAAAGTATTCTACTGTACATGTAGCTCAACACAAGGTAAGGATTAAGTCAATTAAAGTACAAAGTATTCTACTGTACATGTAGCTCAACACAAGGTAAAGATTAAGTCAATTACAGTACAAAGTATTCTACTGTACATGTAGCTTAGCTCAACACAAAGTAAAGATTAAGTCAGTTAAAGTATAAAGTATTCTACTGTACATGTAGCTCAACACAGGGTAAATATTAAGTCAATTACAGTACAAAGTATTCTACTGTACATGTAGGTCAACAAGGTTAATGATTAAGTCAATTAAAGTACAGAGTATTCTACTGTACATGTAGCTCAACACAAAGTAAAGATTAAGTCAATTAAAGTACAAAGTATTCTACTGTACATGTAGCTCAACACAAGGTAAAGATTAAGTCAATTAAAGTACAAAGCATTCTACTGTACATGTAGCTCAACACAAGGTAAAGATTAAGTCAAAGTACAAAGTATTCTACTGTACATGTAGCTCAACACAAGGTAAAGATTAAGTCAAAGTACAAAGTATTCTACTGTACATGTAGCTTAACACAGGGTAATGAAAAATGAAACAGTTAAATGACAAAGGTAAAAGTCAAAGTACAAGCAAAGTTTAAAGTTTATTCATGTAGCTCATCACAAGGCGATGTTAAAGTATAAACTCTGTATTCTACTGAATTTATAAGCCCAAGATGATATAGAGTTTTATTTCATCAGTGCATCAGTGCCTGGAAAAGTCAAGTCAATGGCCCCACTATTCATAAAATTATGGAACCATTTTGAAATTTAAGTAAACTATTAGCTGCACTTTAATTGTATGAAATGACAATAGAAAATCTCTTCAATTTTTTATCACATGTATAACTTACATTCACTTCAGTACATATACAAAGTTTAGGGAAAACCGTATCATCTGGGTATTTTTAGCTCACCTGAGCCGAAGGCTCAAGTGAGCTTTTCTGATCACATTTTGTCCGTCGTCCGTCCGTCTGTCCTTCCGTCCGTCCGTCTGTCTTTCCGTCTGTAAACTTTTCACATTTTCGACTTCTTCTCAAGAACCACTGGGCCAATTTTGACCAAACTTAGTACAAAGCATCCTTGGGTAAAGGGGAATTTAAATTGTTAAAATGACGGGACATATCCCCTCGCAAGGGGAGATAATCAAGAAAAGACAAAAATAGGGTGGGGTCATTAAAAAATCTTCTTCTCAAGAACCACTGGGCCAGTAAAGCTGAAACTTATGTGGAAGCATCCTGGGGTAGTGTAGATTCTAAATTGTTCAAATCATGACCCCCAGGGGAAGGGCGGGGCCACAATGGGGTATCAAAGTTTTACATAGAAATATATAGGAAAATCTTTGAAAATCTTCTTCTCAAGAACTACTGGGCCAGAAAAGCTGAAACTTATATGGAAGCATCCTGGTATAGTGTAGATTCTAAATTGTTCAAATCATGACCCCCGGGGGAAGGGCGGGGCCACAATGGGGAATCAAAGTTTTACATAGAAATATATAGGAAAACTCTTTGAAAATCTTCTTCTCAAGAACCACTGGGCCAGAAAAGCTGAAACTTATGTGGAAGCATCCTGGTATAATGTAGATTCTAAATTGTTCAAATAATGACCCCCGGGGGATGGGTGGGGCCACAATGGGGAATCAAAGTTTTATATAGAAATATATAGGAAAAATCTTTGAAAATCTTCTTCTCAAGAACCACTGGGCCAGAAAAGCTGAAACTTATGTGGAAGCATCCTGGTATAGTGTAGATTCTAAATTGTTCAAATCATGACCCCCGGGGGAAGGGCGGGGCCACAATGGGGTATCAAAGTTTTACATAGAAATATATAGGAAAAATCTTTGAAAATCTTCTTCTCAAGAACCACTGGGCCAGAAAAGCTGAAACTTATGTGGAAGCATCCTGGTATAATGTAGATTCTAAATTGTTCAAATAATGACCCCCGGGGGAAGGGCGGGGCCACAATGGGGAATCAAAGTTTTATATAGAAATATATAGGAAAAATCTTTGAAAATCTTCTGTTCAAGAACCACTGGGCCAGAAAAGCTGAAACTTATGTGGAAGCATCCTGGTATAATGTAGATTCTAAATTATAGGAATCATGACCCCCGGGGGAAGGCGGGGCCACAATGGGGAATCAAAGTTTTACATAGAAATATATAGGAAAAATCTTTGAAAATCTTCTTCTCAAGAACCACTGGGCCAGAAAAGCTGAAACTTATGTGGAAGCATCCTGGTATAATGTAGATTCTAAATTGTAGGAATCATGACCCCCGGGGGAAGGGCGGGGCCACAATGGGGAATCAAAGTTTTACATAGAAATATATAGGAAAAATCTTTGAAAATCTTCTTCTCAGGAACCACTGGGCCAAAAAAGCTGAAACATATGTGCCCATGGAAAGATCATGGGATAGTGTAGATTTCAAAATGTCTAAATTATGATCAGTGGGGTAGGGTGGGGATGCATTATGTATAACAAGGGTGAAATCTGGTAAAGAACAGAATGGTCAAAGCTTCTCAGGTGAGCGATGTGGCCCATGGGCCTCTTGTTTAGGGACCATATCAAAATACCAGGGGACATTCTAAAATATATGTATATCATGGTATTATTCATCTTCGCTAGCCAAGGGTTTCGGATTCGCTACTCTCCTCATAAACCCTTGGCATACGGTGTTCATAAAAATCAGGATTTTTTTCCAGAGTTCTGATTGGATTTCAGTACACACCTGTCGACCAATCATCAATTGCTTTTTGTACATGACGATGTTTGCGTTCGGGATACTTCTTGACTCTTTAATCTCGGAATTGAAAAACGCAAGTAAATAACGATCCGTAAGATAACATGCAATTCTATGAATAGCTATGGTGTCATTCAATATCTTCTAAATATGTGATTAAGAATCTATATTGAAGCTTCCGATTTGTACTATAAGTAATAAATAAACATTACTCAATTAATTGCTTCTAAATTATTCTTGAAAAAACTTTAATTTATTTTTTTTTTAACACGTGTCTTTATTTCTGTCGATGACGCAATCTGTGGGTACCTGATAGATTCAAGATCACGTGACGAAAATAATCCCGTCTTTTGACTTCACCGTATGCCAAGGGTTTATGAGGAGAGTAGCGTATCAGAAACCCTTGGCTAGCGAAGATGGGTATTATTTTACAATAATGCATATACATGTATCTCTGACAAAATAAAACAAAACATGTGATAGGATTTGACAAATCTTTAGACGGAGATTGATGGAAGTAATTTCTTTATTTCAAGTTTCAATATATACATTTGTAGTATCTCTCCATTATATAAACATACAGAGAACATCTGTATGAAGTTTGTCAGAGGTCAGGGGTCAATACGTGACCTAATCACACGGCGCAATGATCTCTACCGGTACAAAATGACTTGCTCTACTTGCTTTTCATGTATAGAAATGAACAAAATAAGCAAGTAAAATAATTATTATTTTATTTACAATGTAAACGAGTATTTCATACATTTTTGGGCTATCGATTTAACCTTCGTACATAGAGAATATACACATGAAAACTAGCATTTGTTTACAACTTTTATGACACTTTTGTCAGCTGCACAGTCTCTAACCTTTATCCTAATTTTTTGGGAAGACCTTTAGTTAAAATTCCGTAAAAAACTAAAATATTTTCATTAAATTCTACTCACGATAAATGTGTAAATCTGTTGGAACATACCAAAGCATTGCAATCACGCCAGAAACACTTCGGAGTTGTGACGTAACAATAACCTGTCACCAGTGTCTCCATATTTTCATCATAAATATGCCTTTATTCATTGAAATCGTAGATTGAATGTTTTTGAGCAAATCCAATTGATTGCAAATTAACTGGCTCGGTCAAGTGTTTCCATCCATCGGATCCATCTATCCCTTTTGAGCGACCGAAATTCCTCCAACTTTTTATCATAGATCTTTGAATCGGACGTGTTTCTAGTGTCTTTTCAGCATTGATTATCAGTTTTCACGAATAAAAATATTCCCAGACAACAATCTGTTCACTATTACCGATCAGAAGTAGCCTTTCAAAAAATATTCCCTTAGAAATAAAATCCTTAGCCTGGTGAATTCGAAGCGTAACCGCCATTCAAGCCGATTTACACCTTGCGTCATTTTTCAAAATCTACTGCGGACAGTTAGTGCAATAATTTAATTCGAAAATATTCATTGTCTGTCTCAAATGTATATATAAGTAATAAATAACAAGTTTATAAACTTCAATGGGAATTGAAGTGGGTGGGTACGTGATCAAATCTTCTGAGAAGGCCTTTGGCCTTCACAGGATTTGATCACGTGACCAACCCACTTCAATTCCCATTGAAGTTTATAAACTTGTTATTTATTTCTTAATTAACGTCAAAAAAGTCATCTTCTTACATGGGAAGTTCATGTGTATTCAGAATAATTTAACTTTATTAAACAATTTAAAAAAATTCAATTTAGTGATCAAGGACCAGGCCAAGTTAAATAGACTTTGTTGCAATGGAACTTTATTGTGCGAAGCAGTTGTTATACATTATTTTCTATGTGTGTGACTTTTTGTAAAGCTGAGGTCAGTTGTCCAGAATAATAATGGGAGTGAAAGTGTGGTTCCTCGCCAGGGGATTTCAATTTGTTGGACTGTGGTTCTGATTTTATCCTATATCACAGATTCCTTCTAGCTTCCATGAAGTTTTCTGAAAGCCCTAAGAAACTAGAAATTCATGCTCTCTCACATTTTGAAGGGAGAAGGCATTAAATAGTGCACTAATAATGCATTGCCCTCAATTTTTTGACAGCACACAGGGCATGGCATGACCCCTTCCCAGGCTCTGGTACTCTGTCATCCTTTTGTTTCACAATAGGTATTGACTTACATGTCATGTGAATTTTGATGTATTTTGACAGTTCAGTATCCCTCCCGTCTTAAGGACCATACAAACTTTTGGATCCACTCCTCGTTTGAAGGCTCTGTCCATACAGTTGCTGGTGGACCTCTGGAAGCTACAAGACAGGTGCTTCCCGTACCTTCTGAAGGCCATCTCGGAGCCAGCGGAAGCCATACTGACTAAGGAAGGGGTGGACGAAGTGAAGCTGGCAAAAGCCAAGGCCATAAGGGATGTCTGCCTACTCAGGTGATGGTTGTAGAATTTATATGTGACTGATAAAAGAAACAAAATGTAGATACCCAATCTTAGGTTTCCACATTCTGTTGGTAATAAAAAGTTTGGCATTGTGTTCAGACCTGTCCGTCTGTCTGTTTAGCTGTCTGTCTTTCTGTGTAGCACCTTTTCCTTATCCAGCTTATAATAAATGCGGCTATGGATCCAAACATTGTTAATCTTCAAATGGCAACACTTTTTATAGAGTTAACTAAATTTTATTAGATATATACTGTAAACCAACTATTATTCACATCATCTATTATTCGTGATTCGTCCGTTTGAAATCAAACAGCGGCGATTAATTTTTGTGACCAAGGAAACATTTCCTACAAATACTAAGCAAAATTATTGATTCGCGGCGATTAATATTCGCAAGTTTAAGTCAGTCGTGAAACTCACGAATATTTCTCGCACGCGAATAAAAGTTGGTTTACAGTAATGCATCAATACAAAGAAAAATAATGTATATATATATATAAATATATAAAGGTTATTGTTTTTTTCATTTTGCTAAGATTTCAGTATAATTTTGACTTTGCATGTCGAAATGTTTTGACATCAAAGTTACTAATGAATATTCATGAAGGAGTAGTTCTATGGAGTAGCTCTGATTTTTCAGGGAATAGTCCTCAGATGAAGGAAGTAAAATCTTCTCAGGGAGATAGACAGATTTATGGTATTAATTTTATAGAGTAATAGCAATAGAGGTATAATAAGTCCTGTTTTGTTACATAAACAACATGAAAATGATTGGAATTTGATATTTTTGTCTCAATTAATTTCTTTTCAAAGAAACGGAGAAAAAATCTCATTTATCACCACACTATTATGAGTGTATTTGCTTGATTTGTGACATTAGGATAGAAGCAGCATTAAGCAGTGTTTGACCTTGACAGAGATTGTCATTATTGGCCAATCTTAATCTGAGCAGGCTCTGACCTCTTCTTTACTGTGGGATCGTGGAGGGCACAGCAGAGGAGGATTTAGACCTGCTGTTCCGAGTCCAATTTCTCAAATATAAAGCACAATATCAATGAAGACCCAGTCATTTTATCACCAAGATTACAGACGATGTATTTCAGTGCACAAGACAGTTATTTACATCTATGGACTTTAAATCTTGATGACTCCTGGTCACAGGGTGATTTTATTAATATCGCTGGACGTATTACTTTTGATGATAGCTTGATATCCCTAGATCAGAGTTGTTATGGCATGTAATGTCGTCTCTACGGTAATCAATCTGTTCATTCATTTCACTTAATAGTTCACTCCATGGATTAAAAATTGAACTAAGATGGTCTTAGTTAGGGGGAAAACATTGCATTGAAATTTTTCATAGAAAAACTACTGTCATTTTTAAAAAAAGAAAAAAAAAGAGAATCTGTAAATTGCAAAGAACATGATTTTTTTTTTTGGTGACATAATGATACCATAGCAACTTTTAAAAGAACATAAAGGCATAATTAAAAAAAAGGATTGGGACAGTTGTTGTCAACTTACCGATTTACATAGGATAAAGATACAGGTAACTCTTGATGGCTCGAACTTCGATCTCTCGAAGTTCTTGATCGCTCGAAGTGAGTCCGGTCCCAAATTGTTCCCCTATATAACTAAGCAAATTTACTCTTGATTTCTCAAACTCTTGATCTCTCGAAACCCTTGATCCCTCTAAGTCAAAATGTAGTCCCGCTATGCATATTCTCTTGAAATTTACCCTCGATACCTCGAAGTGGCTATGTGTATACAAAATTACATAATTAGCAACATTACCTGGTCATTTAATGGCCCCAGGCAGAAGATGCTGGTCTCGTGTAACAGGATGATTATTCAGGTGACACTTATACTGCAAGGTGATAATTGAATTATAATTAATCTTATGTTGCCTAGATGCTATTAAAATAATTATCATTGACTTTATTACGATAATTTAGAAATGCAGTGTCACTGAGAAATTGTAATTGCAGATTACAAGATGAAACACTTAATAAATTTAATTTTTATTTCGAATCAGTGTCAAAGTTTAACGAAATATGAAAATTCAGAAACAGCCTCAATGGCAATATGACAACTATTGTTGGACAAATACTTACAGAACTTCGTTCAATTCACATGTTTGGAAAAGTAACAATATGCTATGTACCACACGACACTGTAAAATGTGTAATGAATGCATAGTATGATACCCGTATGATAAAGAATAAATAAATAAACATGAACTGACGATGTACATTTTTTGTTTTACTCAGTTTAACAAATATTCATCTAAAATAAGAAAACATATTGTTGTTTTATAAAAACCACATGTTAAAGGTTAGCACTGCATGAAAATCATTACATCCAGTAAGACTAATTTTAAAACCTGTCAAATAAACCCGGAAAATTCCGGACTCTTGAAAACTCGAAATCTTGATCTCTTGAAGTTTTTCCTCGGTCCCGCGGACTTCGAGGTATCAAGAGTTACCTGTAAGTTGTTGAATGGTAATGGTTTTAATTGCTATTTTCTTGATTTATTTTATTTTTTATACAACAAAACATTTGTTATCTTGTTTAAGTTCCTTCATTTAGTTAAGGAGCATAAGGTTTTTGAAAAACTTTTATATTAACCATAATATCTCTTTTGTTGCTACAAGGGCTTTCGTATTTCAGAGGTGTATTTCTTATGACAAGACCAATTTTTAAAACTCTGGACATTGAAAGTTGATTTGTATTTGAGACACTGTAACCTTCATAAAGAGCTGCTGTGGGGTGATGCATCAGTGTAATAATGCATCTGATACATGATCCAAGAAACATGCCATTTTTAAATTATTATCTGTCCAGTTTATTAACATCTCCACAGAAAGGTCCATGTATGTGGTCATAAAAATGAAGGAAGATAATAGCTAGTGTACATAATCCTATAATGATATATCATTTGATACTAAGCAGGTAGCATTGATTGTCTTTGAGTTTTAAAAGCGGAGTTCTCTTCTTCTCTAGAACCTGTACAGTTGAGATGATTTTAAAAAAAGCAACAATTTGATGGATTCATTTAAAAAATCTTCTTCTCAAGAAGCACTTGGCTAGATACTCATTATAACATTTTTGGTACCTATCTCTTATTTGCGACTCCCTCTATACCAAAGAATAAAATTTATAAAGACTTTCCTAGATTTTTTTATTACATGTTAAATGAATGGTTTTGCTCATTTAAAGTCATTATACACTGCTCATCTGTTTGTTTAGTCTTGACAAGTATTCATACATGAGATTTTTTGTCTTTAATAGGAAGTAATTCTATCAATTTGAAAGTGTAATTTTGTTTAATAGGTAAAAAGAAAAGTCTACAGCATATATCACATATTTATTTGTTTTTACTTCAGGGGAGAGCAGCATGGCAGTGATATGTTGTCTCCCTTGTCAGAATTACTGGAAAACTCCATACAGGAAGTGGATTCTCCTGTGGCCTCCCTTGCCTTAGAGGGGCTTTACTACTTGTGTAAAGATGAAGTAAGTTTTTGCATCAATGCAAGGTTAAAGTACTGGTCTAGCTACTTTAGAATGCACTGTAAATGCAATATTTCATATTATTGAGTAAGATCTTTTGTTTATGTGGATTTAGAAATGATAATTCAAAAGATTTTTCGTTATCAGAGCCCCCCAAAAATTATTTACTGATGTTATTTCATTTCAGGTGATTGACATCCTTTCAGCGTGGTCTGTGTTAGGAGAAAAACTTACTCATGATTCCAGGTATAAGACCAGTTCACCTTAGTCAAGCCTCGCAAAAACTTTTAACTGTGTCACCTGGAATTTGTTGTGTAGCATTTCACAAATTACCTCAAACCAAGGGACAAATTTCAATGAATTTGCTCAAATGAAGGATCATGTTCCTTTCATTAGAAGTAATGAAAAAAAATTGTATCAATTAAAGGGCAATAATATGGGATTCTAATAGGAAAACGAGCAAAATATTGAAATGTACTGAAATCGAGGCCTCTATGTTAATACCGTATAAGTGGAAATTTTAGCGAGACGCAAATTTAGCGATTTCTCCTTAGAAGTTGGTAATTTATTTTTAGCGAGAGTTCATTTTAGCAATTTAAAAATGCTAACTAAAGAAACCATTATAAATAAAATGCAACTAATTTTTAGCGATATTTAATTTTAGCGATCTCAGGAACCTGAGCGCTAACAATGCCAAAATTAAATTCTCGCTAAAAATTCTACTCGTACGGTATATGGAAATTTATGTTGGTGGTATTACAGTATGTTTCAAATACAGTCAAAACTCATTTTGAATTCAATTGGAACAAGAAAAATCTTTGAGATATCTAAGGATTAGCAATTTTGAGGGTAAAATAGTGTAAAAATAAATAGCTGGGACTTTCAAATTAGTAGAGCTAGTGTCTCATGAGAGACTCCTGCTTTAATCTGTTTCTCATTGTAATATCCTTTCAAGGATATTTGTTTCAATAATGCCCTGTTCACACAGATAGTTTAATTCGCAGTAAATTACTGTACAGCAGGAAATTAACTCGCGGAGTTAATATTCGCTATATTTGCGGAAAAAGAAATTCCGCGAATTCAACATACAGTGAATAATTCTTGAAATTATTTATAAGAATAAACTGAAATTTTATTATCATCGGTGATTAGATGTAGACTGTCCTTGGACTTATGCGAGCGTATGGATCAATTACAAACACGTAGTTGTTATTAGTGTTTTCAAAGCTTATGCATTGTTAAATTAATTTCTATGGCTAACGATTACAGTAATTTTGCAATCTATAATTAGCTTGTATAATTTCACCCGTACGTTCACTCAGTCATTACCTTTAATCAAGGCACAAGCGTAGTAAACAGGGTAGAAACAATTAATTAATTTCAATTATATGATTAAAAGTTCAACATTTGGACTACTCAGTACTGTATAATTTTTTTTATTTGGACTCGGAAATTAAAAAAAAATTCTGGATGCGTAGCATTATTTTGACTTCAAATCGGGATCAGTCCGGTGTTTCATAATTATTCAATCGGGCTCACAATTGACACAATATATAGACTTGCCTTTCCTGTCTGATATGCGATATAATAGAGACTGGAAATGACAGCTAGTTCACACAATATGTAACTTAAGAAAAATTCTTGCAAGTACTGTTTAAAAAATGTATGTATTTTTTTTCCTTTCCGCGAATTCAAACGACCGTGATTTGCTGAAGATTGAACAAATCGCGATCTTTTCTGACCGCGATTTTAACCTGCTATACAGTAATGTTAAGTAAACTAATGCAAAGTAAAATAATGCGAATTAAATTGTGTTCACATGACAGCTAATGCGAATTAAACTAATGCTAAATAAATAGAGGATATTCAATGTTTTGTAGTTGAATATGGAATTTATTTCACGAGTGGGACAGGATTTTTTGATATTTTCACGAGTGTGAAGCACGAGTGAAAATATAAAAAAATCCTGTCTCACGAGTGAAATAAATTCCATATTCAACTACAAACCATTGAATTTTCTGTTTATTACATTTTTAAAAAAAAAGTTCTTTGAATTTTCCTTTGCCTCTGTCTTTTTGTAATGGTCATTGGCTCGTGATGTTATAGTTGAGCGGTTGAGACGTCATAGCTTAGTGAGGTAAAAACACTGTAAACATGGATTTAGCAACATATTTTTGGTAATTTTGACAGTTTTATTCGCTGGCAGAATGGTTTATTTTTTTTTCATCTATCTTATATTGGTTCAAGGAAGATTTTTTTTTACAGCAATCTTCGTTATGGTAAGGGAAATTGAGATTTTTCCCGCACTTCTGATATTCTTCACACTGTGACAGGATATCATTTTGATATCCTTTCACACTGTGACAGGATATCATTTTTATTCAATGAATAAATTACAGTATTTCATGGGTAAAAATGTAATAAAATTTAATTCTACAAAAAGGCTATTCAGTAAGACTATTATGACATCATTTGTAAATCATGTCATGTATGTAGACTTATTTTATTGCAGAGCCATCCATTTGATATGATTATTATATAGTGGCTACAGGTATACATTAAGAAATTAACATACTTTTCCTTGATTTTTGAACCAAATTAAGTACAGGTACCTATATCTAACCACCAATATGTGTCCTGTGACTTTATTCTGGCCTTACGTATGTGTCAAAATTAAATTTGAATCAGCTTCGCCTAGCTTTCACACAGAGCTCATGTGAAGTAATTTAATGGGCAGTAAATTAATTCGAATTAAACTAAACGGGAAATTATTGATTCGACTTTGGAAGTTAACTTCCAATATCTTGAACCCCCGGATATCTTGAAGTTGTATCCAGGTCCCATCAACATCGAGATACTGATATTTCACTGTAATTCGCATTAAATACTCTCCGTTTAAACATGATTTGAATTTAATTTGCAGTAACTTACGTTTAATTTGAAATAATTTAGTTTTGTTTGTATTCTAGTCTCTTATTGGTTGATTTCCAAAAAGGAACGCAAATTATTTCTCAATAACCTGGTTTGGTATGGGGACACCCCCCCTTGACAACCAGCTGAATCATCTGCATCCATGCAATCCCCTCATTTCCAGTCCTTGGGATTCATGGAAAATTCCAGATTTAATAAATGTACCTTTAACTTCAAACAGTAGCTCGATCTTACCTCATGTAAACAAACATCATGGCTGCTAGATCTGTGTATCAGTTATTACCTCCCCTTGTTTCATACCACTTCCGTTACTAAGGATGTATTATTGAGTGGCAAATTTGAACTCATAAAAAGCAGCACAATTAATTTAAAATTAAATTATAAGGAATGACTCTAATTCTTGGCCACATTATTCGATTATAACCTGGTTTGGGTCAGTTTACGCTTTTTAGCTCACCTCAACGAAGTTGGGGGAGCTTATGTAATACCCTCGGCGTCGGCGTCCCGGGTTAAGGTTAAGTTTTTTGGAGCAGTTTTCTTTTTAAGTACTTCTATGTCCTATATTGATTAGACATGCATGGAAGATGGTTCTAGTGTGTTTCATTGTACCAGTCAAAGTTTCAGATGCTGCAATTTTAGCAAAGGAATGACCAGGTTAATGTTTTTGGAGCAGGTTAACATTTTTGGTGCAGTTTTTGGTGTAGGTTTCATTTCCAAGTAACTATAAGCCCTATGTTAACCAAACTTGCATGGATGATACATCTAAGGATGCATACTACCGGGCTTGCTTCGGATGCTGAATCTGACCTACTTTTTCCGGTAGAGCGAACAGGTTAAAGTTATTTGGTGCAGGTTTCATTTCCAAGTATCTGTAAGTCCTATGTTGACCAAACTTGCATGGATAATACATCTAAGGATGGATACAACCAGCCTTGCTTCGGATGCTGAATCTGACCTACATTTTCCGGTTGAGTGAACAGGTTAAAGTTTTTGGTGCAGGTTTCATTTCCAAGTATCTGTAAGTCCTATGTTGACCAAACTTGCATGGATGATACATCTAAGGATGGATACTACCAGGCTTGCTTCGGATGCTGAATCTGACCTACATTTTCCGGTTGAGTGAACAGGTTAAAGTTTTTGGTGCAGGTTTCATTTCCAAGTAACTATAAGCCCTATGTTGACCAAACTTGCATGGATGATACATCTAAGGATGGATACTACCAGGCTTGCTTCGGATGCTGAATCTGACCTACATTTTCCAGTTGAGTGAACAGGTTAAAGTGTTTGGAGCAGGTTTCATTTGCAAGTAACTTTAAGCCCTATGTTGACCAAACTTGCATGGATGATAAATCTAAGGATGCACACTACCGAACTTGCTTCGGATGCTGAATCTGACCTACATTTTCCGGTTGAGTGAACAAGTAAAAGTTTTTGGTGCAGGTTTCATTTCCAAGTAACTATGAGTTCTTTAATGACCAATCTTGCATGGATGATACATCTTAGGATGCATACTACCAGGCTTGCTTCGGATGCTGAATCTGACCTACATTTTGTGGATGAGTGAAAATGTTAGTTTTTGATGTATGTTTCATTTCCAATTAACTATGAGCCTTATAATGTGCAAACTTGCATGGACAATACATCTAAGGATGGATACTACCGGGCTTGCTTCGGATGCTGAATTCGACATATATATTTTTCAGATAATAGACCAGGTTAAAGTTATGGTTGCAGGTCTTTTACCAAAAAACTTTAAGGCTTTTATAACATTGTATAAACCAAACTTGCACAAATGTTGCATCAAGAGATGAAAACTCAAATTTGCTTTAGATGCTGAATTACATTTTCATGAAGAAGAACTACTTTCAATTTTTTATGTTGGTCTACTTCAAAGTATCAGATCAAAATTGCTTAGATATTTTCATTTTTGGAATGTACATTTTTTGTTGGTTAATTGTGTGACTTTGCCTTATTTAAAGACAACATTCGTTGAGGTGAGCTCTGTAATCTCTGATTACCTATGTTTTATAATCCGCTTCGCAGATTATAAAGCGTAAACTGACCCAAACCAGGTTATAATCGAATAATGTGGCCAAGATTCAGAGTCATTCCTTAATTAAACTCTCTGTGTGAACAGAGCATAAAGATTTACTTTTACACCCTTTGTTGAAATATTTATTGATTAATGAACTTGCATGAAGAATTGTGTGCTCATGTAAATTTTGTTGGTTTTTACAATAGATTAACATTGGAAGTATTAGGTGTATGATTAATTTTAAAAATCAGTTCAATTTATTACAAGATTTTTTGATATCACTGCATATTAACTCTAATGTATATTCTGAATACTTTTGTTCATTTGAAGAAAATTCTAACAAGCCACTGTCATACATCTTAAGATGTAGAAAACATCTCTATTTTCCTGACTTTAACAACAAATACACAACACGCAGATCACACAATCTGACACATATATTACATTCTTTTTATGCATTTTTTTTAGTCTTTGATTTCAGATACTGACCAGAAACTTTTTTTGTATGTGTCTGGTTTTGCTGGGCAGTACATCTATATTTTTACTTCGTCGATATCATTTGTTATGCTGTGGGGATGGTTAAGTTCCAACTACAAATTGGACATTGATGAATGAAAACCCTGATCATTTCCTGAATAAAGTATTGATCAGTGGGATTTAAATGAATGGTTGTGCTCATTAAGTCATTTTACACTGCTCATCTGTTTGTCTTGTCTTTTACAAGCCTTCTTATCTACTGTAGAGGCTTTGAAATAGGATTAGTCAATGTGCGAAACTTCACAATACATGGCCATGCTTTTACATTGAATTTTTTCCTTCTTTTGTAAATAGATCGATAGTTCAGGAGAAAATCTGCAAGCTGTTCTCTTTAGTACCAGAACTGGAAGTGAAGACAGAGGAATTTGAGGTATGGGATATTGGAAAAAGAAATTCAATACAACAAAGGAAAGCAAAAGTAAAAAAAAAAAACTATAGAAAGAATTCAGGATATGAATCAAGTGTAAAATTGGTATGTGTAAGACAATGAGGGATTAGAAGCAAGCAATCATTCAAGCAGTCAGATCAAATCAGAACATTTCTTCAAAGAATCCACTTTACTACAGCATAAAAAGTCTCAAATTTTGAAAATGTTAAAGTTATTCAAATTAAAAATATTTTTGCCATTTTGAGAAAATCTATAATTTAATTTGCATACCTTAACATTGTGAATAGGTTGGTTGCTTTTTCAGTTTCTAGAAATTCCATGCACTTAAATCTTTCTCTGAAAAAATATATACTGTATACGGGGAAATTTTCGCATCCGTTTAATTTTCGCCCATTTCGCCCTCGTCGTAAGTGGGTGAATTTAAAACAGGACGAACCTATTACAGAAAATTCATTCATCATTATCTGCATTGTGGCACTCTATTTTTCTCAATTTGATTTGCAAAATCAGCAACTGTGAAGGGCCTATCTCTTTCCATAATGTTACAAACTCTTTAAAATTTTTGATCATTTTTTTTTTTTTTTTTTACATTTATTCATTTGCTTGGAGATACAAAATCTTTATCATTCAAAAAATCCTGTGCCATTTATACATAAATCTCAAATTAAGCTCACTTGAGTCAAAGATTCATGCGAGTTTTTCTGATGAAAATTTTCCTTTATATGTCAAAGTCTCTGACATCATAATAAACTTTTTACAATTTTATCTTTATCTCCAGAACCATTGGGCCATTTTCTACTGAAGTTGGCACAGAGGATATCCTTGGGAATGGAGGATTTAAATTTACTGTACACAGGGTTATTTTTGCCCCGTATTATTTTCGCCCTTTCATATTTGGAAATAAGTTTGCCCTGTTTTAAATTCACCCAAAAAGATTTTTGTTTAAGATATTTTACTATATACTTTGAATTGGCCTCGTTTTAAATTCACCCACTTCCAACAAGGCACCTTCGCTAGTCAAGGGTTTCTGATACGCTACTCTCCTCATAATCCCTTGGCATACGATGTTGAGAGAACTTGGGTTTTTTTTAGATGAGTTCTGATACACCCGATTGACCAATCAGCAATTGTTTTTTGTAAATGACGATATTTGTGTTCAGGATACTTCTTGACTCTTTAATCTCGGAAATGAACAACGCAAGTAAACAATGATCCATAAGATAACATGCAATTCTATTAATAGCTATGGTGTCATCCAATATCTTCTAAATATGTGATTAAGAATCTATATTGAAGCTTCAAATTTGTACTATAAACAATAAATAAACATAACTTAATTATTGCTTCTTAATTATTCTTGAAAAAACTTTGACTTAATTTTTTTAAACACGCGTCTTTATTTCTGTGGATGACGCAATCTGTGCATGATACTTGATAGATTCAAGATCACGTGCTGAAAACAATCCAGTCTTTTTACTTCTCCGTATGCCAAGGGTTCATGAGGAGAGTAGTGTGTCAGAAATCCTTGGCTAGCAAAGATGTCAACGAGGGTGATAGAGGCGAAAATAAAATGGGGGCGAAAATTTCCCTGTATACAGTATTTAAATGAAGGGCCACACTCTCTTCCTAGAGGAGATAAAGAAGAAGTTGTGAAAATTGGGTTTGGTAATTATGTTCTCAAGAACCACTGAGCCAGAATGAACCATGTGAAAGATTAATTCCTGGAAAAGAGTAGATTATATTTTGTTTAAATCAAGACTACCAGGGGTGGGTGAAGCCACTATGGACAAATAAATCCGTTAATACCTCATCAAGAACAGCAAAACCATGATCAGAAGCATCCTCATGTAGTATAGATTCAAATTTTAAGCCCCATCCACCTGTTGTTGTGAAGCCGCTATGGGCAAACAAAGATTTATATGATAGGTATATGCAGGATTTTTAAAACAAAAAATCTTCTCTTGAAGAACAGCAAACAATATCAGGCATATTTATGTAGAAGCATCCTGATGTAGTGGAAAGTGGTGTAATTTCAAGTTTGTTCAAATGTACCCCTTGTGGATAGGGTTTAGGGTTGATTCATAATGAGCATCAAAGTTGTTTAATCTTTAAAATTCTTTTTCCCAAGAAAAGCAAAATCATAAGTCATCATATTGAAGCATCCTCACCTATGGCAAGATTCAAGTTTGTTCAAATTATGACTTTTAGTGTAGGTTTGAACCACAATGGGCAAAAGGTATACATGTATTACTAAAATTCCTAAAAATTTTAAAATATGCAAGCATCCACAGGCATGGTAGAAACCATGATCCCTAGGGATTGGGATGGGACACAACTGGAGATTTAAGTTTTATGTAAGAATGAATGATAAGAAGAACCTGCCAATAAAAGAACAAAAAGGGCTACATGTATTTTAAGGCATATGAGCCTGTGGGCCTCTTATACCTAATTTCCTGTTTTTTTATGGCCTGCCATGAATATGACCGGGGCATATAGTGTTTGTCATGTCCATCTTCCGTCCTTCCGTCTAGCTGTCCTTCTGTCCTTCTGTCACACTTAGTGTTTAGCTCTGTTCAAAGCTCTGTTTCGAAGAAACTATCCAAGATAATTATACCCCCGCTCCAAAGGAGAGGGGGGTATACTGTTTTACCCTTGTGTGTCTGTCTGTCTGTCTGTCTGTCCGTCTGTCTGTCCGTCTGTCTGTCCGTAACAAATTTTTCGTCACAGTTTTCTCAGGAACTACTCATCGCAGATGCTTGAAATTTTAACACAATCTTCTCTGAGACGTGCCATACGGTGGGATATATTCTTGTCCAAATCGGATGTCAACTTCCTGTTTGTCTGTGCGTCTGTCCGTTTCATACATAACAAATTTTCGTCGCAGTTTTCTCAGCAACTACTCATCGCAGATGCTTGAAATTTTAACACAATCTTCTCTGAGACATGCCATACGGTGGGATACATTTTGGTTCAAATCGGATGTCAACTTCCTGTTTGTCTGTGCGTCTGTCCGTTTCATACATTATGAATTTTTGTCGCAGTTTTCTCAGCAACTACTCATTGCAGATGCTTCAAATTTTAGTACACTTTATGTTGAGGCATGCCATTTGGTTGGATTAATTTTGATATGAAACTGATGTTAACTTCCTGTTTGTCTGTGCATCTGTCTGTAATGGATCTTGTGTATATTAACATGATCGTGTTTATTCTCATCAGAGCGGGGGTATTCCTAGTGAGCATTCGCTCACAGATTTCTTGTTTCATCAAACTTCATATGCTGATAGATATTGATGAGAGCTATGCAACTGCATCAACATTTTGACCTGGACCTTTCCTATGACCTTGACCATACTTTTCTTTATTTAGTGTTAAGCTCAGTTTTAAACATACCATTCATTGACAAGATGGTGTTTTCAAACTTCATATTCTGATAGATATTGATGAGAGCTATGCAACTGCATCAACATTTTGACCTGGACCTTTCCTATGACCTTGACCATATTTTTCTTTATTTAGTGTTTAGCTCAGTTTTAAATATACCATTCATTGACAAGATGGTGTTTTGAAACTTCACATGTTGATACATACTGATGAGAGCTATGCAACTGCATCACCATTTTGACCTTGACTTTTCCTTTGACCTTGACCTCACTTATCTTTAATTAGTGTTCAGCTCAATTTTAAAAATACCATTCTAGATATTTTATCAAACTTCATATGTTGATACATATTGATGAGGAATATGCAACTGCATGAACATTTTTGACCTTGACCTCACTTTTCCTAAACCAGTGTCAAACTTCATATGCTGATAGATACTGGTGGAAGCAATTCAACTGCATCAATATTTTTGACCTTGCCCTTTTATTGGAACTTGACCTTTCATTTGACCTTGACCTCACTTATGTTTAATAAGTGTTTAGCTCAGTTTTAAAGATACAATTCAATATATTTTTATCAAACCTCATATGCTGTTACATACTGATGCAATTCAACTGCATCAACATTTTTGACCTTGACCTTTCCTTTGACCTTGACCTCACTGTCAAACTTCATTTGCTGATACATATTAATGTAAGCAATTCCAATGCATGAACATTTTTGACCTTGAACTTTTATTTGACCTTGACCTTTCATTTGACCTTGACCTCACTTATCTTTAATTAATGTTTAGCTCAGTTTTAAAGATACCATTCAAAATATTTTTATCAAACCCCATATGCTGTTACATATTGATTAGAGCAATTCAACTGCTTCAACAATTTTGACCTTGACCTTTCCTTTGACCTCACTTTTCCTAAATCAGTGTCAAACTTCATATGCTGATACATACTGATTAGGGATGTCAAAATTGTCAATAATTGATATTCGAATATTCGATAGGAGTATTCGAATATATTCGAATATTCGATAAAATAAATACAATTTGCATTATAAAATATATAATACAAATCATGACCCCCGGGGGTAGGGCGGGGCCACAATGGCCGACCAAAGTTTTACATAGAAATATATAGGAAAATTCTTTAAAAATCTTCTTCTCAAGAACCACTGTGCCAGGAAAGATGAAACTTATATGGAAGCATCCTCAGGTAGTGTAGATTCACGTTTGTTCAAATCATGACCCCTGGGGGTAGGGCGGGGCCACAATGGCTGACCAAAGTTTTATATAGAAATATATAGGAAAATTCTTTAAAAATCTTCTTCTCAAGAACCACTGTGCCAGGAAAGATGAAACTTATATGGAAGCATGCTCAGGTAGTGTAAATTCAAGTTTGTTCAAATCATGACCCCTGGGGGTAGGGCGGGGCCACAATGGCCGACCAAAGTTTTTACATAGAAATATATAGTAAAATTCTTTAAAAATCTTCTCCTCAAGAACCACTGTGCCAGGAAGGATGAAACTTATATGGAAGCATGCTCAGGTAGTTTAGATTCAAGTTTGTTCAAATCCTGACCCCCGGGGGTAGGGCAGGGCCACCATGGCCGACCAAAGTTTTACATAGAAATGTATAGGAAAATTCTTTAAAAATCTTCTTCTCAAGAAAAACAAAGCCATAATTGATCATATTTATATGGAAGCATCCTCAGGTAGTGTAGATTCAAGTTTGTTCAAATCATGACCCCCGGGGGTAGGGCGGGGCTACAATGGCTGACCAAAGTTTTACATAGAAATATATAGGAAAATTCTTTAAAAATTTTCTTTTCAAGAACCACTATGCCAGGAAGGATGAAACTTATATGGAAGCATCCTCAGGTAGTGTAGATTCAAGTTTGTTCAAATAATGACCCCCGGGGGTAGGGCGGGGCCACAATGGCCGACCAAAATTTTACATAGAAATATATAGAAAATTCTTTAAAAATTTTCTTCTCAAGAATAACAAAGCCATAATTGATCATATTTACATGGAAGCATCCTACGGCAGTGTAGATTAATGTTTGTTCAAATCATGACCCCCAGGGGTAGGGCGGGGCCAAAATGGCCATCCAAAGTTTTACATAGAAATATATAGGAAAATTCTTTTAGAATCTTCTTCTCATGAATAGCAAAGCCATGACTGGACATGGGACTACTTTTGGATTTAAACTTTTCAATAATAAACCAATTTCTACTTTTTCCTAGCCACAGTGCTCAGGTGAGCGATGTGGCCCATGGGCCTCTTGTTAAGTAATCCAACGGAAATGTCTTAATTTTTTTTTTTAATCAAATCTTATTCCTAGTCAATGGTACGCACTTGATTCAATAAAACTTGCCAGATTTTTCTCTCTTATTAATGCTTGTATACTTAAAAACCGAATATTCGAATCATACATTTATATTAATTCGAATATCAACTCATCGAATGAATATTCGAATATTCGTTGACATTCCTAATACTGATATAAGCAATTCAACTGTGTCAACATTTTTACCTTGACCTTTTATTTGACCTTGACCTCACTTTTATCAAATTGTGATTAAGTCAGTTTTAATTAAAGAAATCATTCTAGATATTTATATCAAACTTCATACGTTGATACATATTGATGTAAGGTATGCAACTGCATCAACATTTTTTACCTTGACCTTTCCTTTGACCTTGACCTCACTATTTCTATCTGTTTTCGTCCGTCATCTGTCGTCCGTCGTGCGTTAACACTTCAACATTTTCAGCTTCTTCTCTGAAACCACTGAACCAATTTCAACCAAATTTGGCATATAGCATCTATGGGTGAAGGGGAACAAAAATTGTGAATTTCATGGTCCCTGCCCCCCTGGGGCCTGGGGGGTGGGGCAAAAACCGCAAAAATTAGTGCAATCTTTAAAAATCTTCTTTACTCCTGGACATCAAGCAGTCAAACTGTTGGTATGATTGTAATCAGCATTACCGAAATTGTGAAATTCATGGCCCCAGGGTCAGGGGTTCTAGTGCTAGGGCGGGGCTAAATAGGTTATATACGGTAGTGAAAATGCATAATTTCTTTGAAATTCTTCTTTTCTGCTCCTGGGCATTAAATAAATTAACCAAGTGCATAGTTGAATTGAAAATGACTGCCTCTTCCAAAATTGTTAAGTTAATGACCCCAGGGTCAGGGGTTCTAGTGCAAGGGCGGGGCCATATAGGTTATTATAGTAAAAATGCAGTAATTCTTTGATATTTTTTTCTGTTTGCGGGCATTTAATAAACTTACCAAGTGCAAAGTTAAGTTGAATAAGGCTGCCTCTTCTAAAATTGTGAATCTAATGGCCCCAGGGTCAGGGATTCTAGTGGCAGGGCGGGGCTATATAGATTATATAGTGAAAATGCATAATTTCTTTGAAATTCTTCTTTTCTGCTCCTGGGCATTAAATAAACTAACCAAGTACATAGTTATTTTGAATAAGGCTGCCTCTTCCAAAATTGTGAATTTCATGACCCCTGGGTTGGGTGTTCTGGTGTTAAGGTGGAGCTCTATTGATTATATAGTGAAAATGCATAAACTCTTTAAAAATCTTCTTTTCTGCACATGGGTATTAAATCAATGAACTTTGTACATAGTTATGAGGAGCAAGGATGCCAATCTTTGAGGTTTGTGAATTTCAGGGCCCCAGGGTCAGGGCTTCTTGTGTTACAGTTAGGGCGGGGCTCTAATGTTTATGTAGTGAAAATGCACAAATTCTTTGAAAACCTTTTCCTTTGCAGATTGGTATTAATCAACAACATGATGAAATAAAATTTATAAAATTTCCAAAATTTTTAAAGATGTGGCCCCAGGGTCAGTGGTTCGTGTGGGATGGGGTGCACAACTTATAATGATAAAGTGGAAATGCATTTTCTCTTTGTTGCTGTGATCTACATGTACCTCTTGGTATTACTAACCAAAGTAAACGTGCTGAGTGCATAATTATGATAAGCAATGGTGCCTCTTTCAAAATTGTGAATTTCATGGCCTCTGGATTAAAACATGAATCAAATTCAATTGTTGGAAAGTTGTTGCATGATACTCAGGTGACCTATAAGGCCCATGGGCCTCTTGTCTTAAATAAGTGTCAAACATCATATGCTGATACATACTGATGTAAGCAATTCAACTGTATTAACATTTTTGATCTTGGCCTTTTATCTGACCTTGACCTCCGTTTTATCAAATTGTTTTAAAATGGTTTTAAAGAAACCATTTATAATATTTTTTTCAACTTCATATGTTGAAACAAACTTATGAGAGCTTTTCAACTACATCAACAGTTTTTGACCTTGGCATTTCCTTTGACCTTTAACCTCATTTTAATGAAATTAGTGTCAAACTTCATATGCTGATGCATATTGATGTAAGCAATTCAACTGCATCAATATTCAAGATATTCTGATCAAATTTCTTGCATTAATACAAATTTTCACGTCGCATTACTAATATACCCTCTGCGGGGCATTCATGTCCTATGGATATTTTTCTAGTTTTAAATTTACATTTATGAATATTGATTTCTTGCTTATATAAATCAATTAAACATAACACCTGTAAGTCTAAATTGAGAGAACAATCATATTTTTCCATGTGAGCATGATAATTTTCAGTTACATCACATTGGTCTCCTATCTTGTAGAGGTTCCATCAGTATGCTGTGTCAGCCCTCTGGCTCTTTGTTCAGGGCAGTGACCCTGATGTTAGCAGGGCTGCCTTCCAAGCTCTGTCAAAGTTTGACATCAGAAGTTTTAGTCTTGCTCAAATCGCAGACAAGGTAACATTTACAATGAAGGATTTAATCGCAAACAAATGGTAACATTTACAATAATCAGATCAGATAATATTGACAATAAAATCCAAATTCCAGAAAAAAGGTTCACATCCCAGATAAGGTGATATATACAACAAAAGCCCACATCCCAGACAAAGGCCCACATCCCAGACAAAGGCCCACTCCCCAGACAAAGGCCTATATCCCAGAAAAAGGCCCACATCCCAGACAAAGGCCCACATCTCAGACAAAGGCCCACATCCCAGACAAAAGCTCACATCCCAGACAAAGGCCCACATCTCAGACAAAGGGCCACATCCCAGACAAAAGCCCACATCCCAGACAAAGGCCCACATCCCAGACAAAAGCCCACATCCCAGACAAAGGCCCACATCCCAGACAAAGGCCCACATCCCAGACGAAGGCCCACATCCCAGACGAAGGCCCACATCCCAGACAAAGGCCCACATCCCAGACAAAGGCCCATATCCTAGACAAAGGCCCACATCCCAGAACAAAGGCCCACATTCCAGACAAAGGGCCACATCCCAGACAAAGGCCCATATCACAGACAAAGGCCCATATTCCAGACAAAAGCCCACATCCTAGTCAAGGATCCAAATCCCAGAAAAAATGTTTGCATCCCAGACTACATGACTTTTACAATAAAGCCCACATTCCAGACAAAGGCCCACATCCTAGACAGAGAATCATCCCAAAATGATGCTTGGCAAGACAGTCAACCCTTGATATGTGAACTCAAATGACCAAAAATATTTTGACAATATCCCAGAATTTTAGATAATTAGGTTAGATTAAATAAAGAAAAAAAATGGTTTGAACTTTCATCTAACATTGAAGTATCCGTAGTAATTGAGATATGGATGTCCAAATGTTATAACATTTGAAGTCTGGGAATTTAGAGAAATATTATCAACTTCACTGAAGTTTTTGAGGAAGTAATATTTTCAACCATTTACTCTTAAAATGAGAGAATGGATTCACTGATGAGAATTTCATGGTACTTAACTTCGAGATGAAGACATCATCTGACTTTGTTCAATCTACTTATAGAGTCAATTTACTTGATTTTGTATATTTTCTAGATGTGAATTCAAGGTCTCTGTGTTGTTTAACAAAAATCAAAAAGTTAGTTAATTATAAAAACAAGTAATGTGTTGTACCATGCCCTGTTTTATTTATTGTACATAGGTAACAATTATTATGTTGATAACTCAATACTACCTCAGATCCTTGCTATTGACTCCTATAATTTCTTCTGACAGGTAAAAGAGGACATTGTTAGACAGGCTCAGGCCGTCATTGACAGGGGAGATAATCCCGACCTGACAGTAGAGGATGTCATTAAGGAGGTCCCTGGTATCTGTTACACACGGATGCTGGGGATAATCTCACCAGAGGTGTATGAAGGTAATCCTAGCTAGTTTTATATCGTTAAGGAGGTCCCTGGTATCTGTTACACACGAATGCTGGGGATAATCTCACCAGAGGTGTATGAAGGTAATCCTAGCTAGTTTTATATCGTTAAGGAGGTCCCTGGTATCTGTTACACACGAATGCTGGGGATAATCTCACCAGAGGTGTATGAAGGTAATCCTAGCTAGTTTTATATCGTTAAGGAGGTCCCTGGTATCTGTTACACACGAATGCTGGGGATAATCTCACCAGAGGTGTATGAAGGTAATCCTAGCTAGTTTTATATCGTTAAGGAGGTCCCTGGTATCTGTTACACATGAATGCTGGGGATAATCTCACCAGAGGTGTATGAAGGTAATCCTAGCTAGTTTTATATCGTTAAGGAAGTCCCTGGTATCTGTTACACACGGATGCTGGGGATAATCTCACCAGAGGTGTATGAAGATAATCCTAGCTAGTTTTATATCGTTAAGGAAGTCCCTGGTATTTGTTACACACGAATGCTGGGGATAATCTCACCAGAGGTGTATGAAGGTAATCCTAGCTAGTTTTATATCGTTAAGGAGGTCCCTGGTATTTGTTACACACGAATGTTGGGGATAATCTCACCAGAGGTGTATGAAGGTAATCCTAGGTAGTTTTATATCGTTAAGGAAGTCCCTGGTATCTGTTACACACGGATGCTGGGAATAATCTCACCAGAGGTGTATGAAGGTAATCCTAGCTCAGTTATATAACGGCAACCTCATCAGAGGTAAATTAAGGTAATCTCACAAGTTGAATATGTAAGGTGATCTTAACAAAGGTGTGTGAGGGAATTCTGTACAGAATCTGTAGTTAAATTTATAAAATTAAAGTATTGTTTAATTAAGTTTATTAAGGTACTTTGTACATGTACATGATATATATTTACATCCACTGAATATTTTTCCCTTTTGTGCGCCCGAATTTATTCTGGGCATATATTGTTTTTGTCCTGTCTGTCTGTTTGTCTGTTTATCTGTTTGTGTGTTTGTTTGTCTGTTGTCAACTGTAACCTTCGCCATAACTTTTAAACCCTGAGAGATAGAGACTTCGTATTTGGTATGCATACTCCACTAATTAAGCACTTTCAATTGACACTAAGGTCAATGACGTTGTGACCTTGACTGTGACCTATATGCTAAAAATAGCTTTCTCGAACTTTTGTCATAATTTTTTAACCATAGGAGATAGAGACTTCATATTTGGTATGCATACTCCACTAATTAAGTTCTTTCAAATACCAACAAGGTCAATGACCTTGTGACCTTGACTGTAACCTATATGCTAAAAATATCTTTTTCGAACTTTCGCCATAACTTTTGAACCATAGGAGATAGAGACTTTATATTTGGTTTGCATACTCCACTAATTAAGTGTTTTCAAATGACACCAAGGACAATGATCATGTGACCTTGAATGTGACCTGTTTGCTAAAAATTCCTTTTAAGAACTTTGTTGCCGCCTGGCGCATAGTGTTTCAAAAGCACATCTTGTTTTTTCCTAAGAAAATCCTTGAAGTTCATCACTCAGTAAACACTAATAAGCATATCACTGGGACAGATTTCTTGAGCAGTGGCTTACATCAATGAAACAGTGACATATACAATACAATTAGAATACATTTAATCTCTGTAATCCTACATTACGTGAATTCATCAGATACATGTATGTAATATAATATGTGAATTCATATTCAGTTTTCTCAAAGACAAACCCAATTTGCTGTACTTTTTCATTAAAACATGACTTTTTTGTTTATAGGATACAGTGAATTTTTGAGTGAGCATGTGGGGTCAGAGGTTAAGAACCTTGGGCGGGGTGTATACCATTCCTCCTCACGGCGGCTTGGCATGAATTCCACTCGCAGCAAGATGGTGGATTTCATACCAACATTTCTTCAGAAGCAGTATGACACATGTAAACAGCCAGGACTAAGGCCCGGGCTGGCAGGTATTAGTATTACAGTATGACACATGTAAACAGCTGGATTAAGGCCCCAGCTGGCAGGTATTAGTATTTCAGTAAAAAGCCAGGACTAAGGCCCGGGCTGGCAGGTATTAGTATTACAGTTTGACACATGTAAACAGCCAGGACTAAGGCCCAGGCTGGCAGGTAATAGTATTATGGGAAAACAGCCAGGACTAAGGCCTGGACTGGCTATGGCCCTGGCTGGCAGGTATTAGTATTATAGTATTGTTGAAAAAGAAAAGAGCATTTACTCGTTTTTTTTGTGGGTAATTAACATATGCAAAGCCATTTATGAGCAAAGTGAAGAAAAAGTTAAAAAGAACTCTCTTGGATAATTTATTTTTTACTACTAGAAATTTTCAAGGAAGTCAAGTAAAATATTGACCTTTAACGAAGTGACAAAACAATCTCCTTGGCTCATTTTCTACCCATATAGAAATTATGGCACAGAATAAGCATATGTACATGTATTTAGTAGTCCTTGATAAAAATATTTTCTTTGTGTTTATTTTGTCTATAGCGGGACTTTTGTTTAGTTATGATCCTCCCCTGGAAGTTGGAAGAGACGGGAGACCCAGAAAACACTACACTATTACCCACAGCAAAAACTTCCAGCACATGTTTACCACACTGCTTCACGAGGTGTCAGGCTTTGTTATCTATTCTTACATGTATTACTATTTATACTAAAAATCACTTTGGATTTATTCTGTTTTTACCATCTCATAGATATACATGTATATTAAAATTTTTTTATTCGAAATAGAGCCAAGAGGAAACCAATTTTGTTGTTTATGAGCAATGAAAGGAATTTATGGAAAATTATGCAGTTATGTCTGGTTTTATAGTTCTTATTTGTGTTTATATGGTGCTGATCTGTTATTTCAAAGAATTAAGGCCAAGAAAATACATTTTAGAGATATAAATGATAACTTTCCCCCTAAATGAGTTAATAAACTTTGTCAGAAAATTGCCGATTTTGCCAGCACTGCTCGGTGTTTAATTATTTCCCATGTTTTAAGGTGACAATCCAACCCTCCAACTGGCAGCAGTTGGTGCAGCTACCCCAAGCCTGGGTAGCCTTTGTAGACCGGCTGTTCTCGTCAGCTGTTGAGGTATGTAACTAGCCAACAATTAGTTTTAGATTGGCAGTTCTCTTCAGCTGTCAAGGTATGCAAATTGTCTTGAATTAGATGCTTGACTGACAGTTCACTTAAGCTACTAAGGTATGCAAATAGTCACCAGTAAGATTGCAAATGGCGGGTGTGATTGGTTGGCATCATGACACCATATTTGTGTATATGATATAGAACAATGATAAGTTCTGTAATCATGTGACTGGATAAATGTAAGTTACTGCAAATTAAATTTGAACCATGTTCACATGGAGAATTTGTTGCGAATTAGTTTAATTCAAATTTATTTAATGCACATTAAATTACTTCGCATTAGCTCCGTGTGAACGCTAGGCAAAGCTAATTCGAATTAATTGTGTTAATTAATCACTAAAATAAGTGTACAGACACTTTGCCAATATGTCAAATGGATCAGCTCCTGCATAAGGTGACGTGATTTGCAAATGACATCTTAATAGCCTGACTTTTAAATAGAAGTAAAATTTTAACTGATTCACATTAGTTTACATTGCATTATTTTATTTCGAATTAAACTCTCGATGTGAACAGGGCATAAATTAAATTTTCAAACAAGTGTTTTTGAGTGTGTAGATCTTTAGCACACAAAAAATGCCAGTGGACAGAACATGGCAAGACTGACGTATCTGAGTGCTTCATCACAAGGGATCTATCATTATATATTGATATAGATCATTGGATAACCTTGGGGAGAAAGTTTGATAGAAAAGCCAGTGGTTAAAGTCACTTATAGATTTAATTCAGTTGATTTGAAATTTGAAAGTTACTTTATAAACTGCATGTTTACATTCAGAATTTATAAAATTCACATTTATTTGTTTACTTTCCATTTGCAGTACACATCTTGCTTTTCTATATGTAATGAACGTTTAATTTTAGTTTGTTTTATTTTGAAAGGGACGCAAGGCAGAGATTGACCTTCAACTGAAAAAGGATCATATCGGGGAGGAAGAGGCATTGGAGAAACAGAAAGTAGCATGGCTCTGGTAAATTTGAAAGTTAATGTACAGTAAAACTCAGATATATAGAACTCACTTATAGCAATGATGATGGATAAAAGAAATTTTTTTATTTATCAATCCTGTGGAGGACTGTGCAAAATGTTTCCTATTCAGATAAATACAGTAAAACTCGTTTAGTACGAACACGGATACAGCGAATTCACGGATATAGCGAAGTTTTTCTGGGTCCCCGGCAAAATTCTGAACAAATCTTTGTAAAATTTTACGGTTACAACGAACTCTGATACAACGAATTTACGGATATAGCGAACTGATTTTGAGTCTTGTTGAAGTAAAATATAATGAAATTTACATCTTTTATAAAGAACTTTCAAAGATCTCAAAAAAATTGATAAATTTAACTGACTTTGTTCCATGATTTTGCATATAAAATTCAATTCATAATAAAACTTTAGTTATCTTTGGTATGTTTCGTAATATTTGCTTCCCTAACATTTCTTAGTAATACTTAAAGGAAAACATGCATATTGCGAATTCGCTATATATAGTTATACGAATTCGTTATAGGGATATAACGAATTACGGATATAGCGAATTAAATTCACAGGCCCCCAGGACTTCGCTATAACCGAGTTTTACTGTATATAGAATTTTGGAAGTATGGAGGCAGAAATCAATATCCCAGTTAATTTGAACAAACTTGTGTCTTCAATGTGGATTTATTTCATGTTAATACAATTTAGTTAAGCTCTGCTAAACTTGGGAAAAATGTTTTAAATGAAATTTTTAATATTTATTTCTATGTAACACTAAGTTTGATGATTCCTTATTCCCGGGGGGGGGGGGGGGGGGGGGTTGAATAGTAAAGTTAATAACTAAGAAAATACATGTAATATATTAAAACGTGCTGTAAGAGAAACAGTCAGCTGATGATAAACCTAATATTATATATTCCTAGAGCTCTAGTTAATTTAACATATCATGTTTCTTAATACTGGCTTCTAAGTAAAGATCATTCTTATCATGCATGTACTTTATATTATCATGCATGTGTATTTCACATGTAAACCAAATTTGATCTAAAAACCAATTTTGAAGAGGAGCAGATTAACTTATTATAGAGGCTCTATGAGGTTTTTCTGTAAAGTCTGTGGACAATCACAGCTTTGGTTTTGTAAATAAAAAGGAATAAGGTTAAAGATTTAATTTAAACTTTATTATCAGAAAATATAAATATCAAGTTTCAAAGTATTTTGTTATTTGCACTGGAGCGCACAGAGACAGTGTTAAAAAACTTTAAAAGAAAAATCTTCATATTTTCTCTGAATCTCATCTTTTGTGTTGTTTTTCCTATTTATGAAAGAAGTCTTCATATTGACCAGTTTTTATACAAAAGATATTTTATGTGATTTAGTTCTAAATATTGCCCAGTTTAATGAAACTTCATGTAACGTTAGAGGTTTGCCAACATTGAGGTGTTTAGAACTTGATCTTTAACATCCTTCAATGCCAATAATGATGACTAGCCTTAAAGACTGATGTAGGTCGAGGTCAGGAATGAAGAATACAGAGTAATTGTTTTTATGAGTACATTTGCAGGTGGACATTATGTGATGCATTGTAATATTCATCAGGTCAGTCAAAGTAAATCAAGGTTAACATATTCATAACAATGGGAGCGAGCAGTTTGTTTTGAACATTAAGTGTAAGTGCACATTTGTCCACTCTTTTCCTTTATTTTAACCTTATTTTGTTCAATATACAACTACACTTTTCTTAAGTGCAATCAACAAACATGCGCTGACTATGTATTCAGACAATGAAAAACATGTGACCCTGATTATCTATTGATATTCAAAACTTTTCAGGCCCCATGCCTTCCATTATTCTTTTTTATTTTTTTTTTAAAGAATTCTTACAAAACGTTTTTTTCTTCTGCAGGGTGAGAGACAAGTTAACTGATTTGATCAAAACAGCATCTAGGTAAGTAGGAACATGCTAACTGGTGTAGTTGCACTTTCCAATACTGTATACAGGGAAATTTTCGTTCCCGTTTTTTTTTTTTCACCCCGTTTCGCCGTTGTCGCATTTGGGCGAATTTAAAACTGGGTGAATGAAAAAAAAAATGGCATTAACTCTTAATTAGAACTGTGTTTGGACAAATTCAAAAAGGGGCAAAATCGTGTACATGTGTAAAAGGGCGAAAATTATATGGGTCGAAAATAAGTCTGTATACAGTCTCTAAAACAATTCAAAGCAACCCTGCTGATAAAACAAGAAGAACAAGCAAATTCAAAGACTGTTGTCCTAGTGGTGTGAATGCACTAATACACACTTTGAGACTGGTCCTTTGGATGAGATTGTATGAACTGAGGAACTATTTCGCAGTAAGTTCTGGCTTTTAAAAGATCCCTCTTTGCTCAACGGCTCTGAGTGCCGAGTGTAGGTCAAAATTTGCAGCTCTCCACCAGCAAGTGGTGGTGTCTCCATATGAGAAAAAAATACTTGAGGGGGACCTTAAACAACAAACAAACAATGTTACTGTTTTGTTTGTGTGTCCTTCAAGCATCTAAGTCAAGGTCATGAAGTCAAAATTGATTTACCTCTTTGAAGGTGTTGCTGGGTAAAATATGAAAGTTATCTTCTCTTTTTCAAGTTTTAGGTCAAGGACCATCAGACCAAATTAATATTTTTAGCTCACCTGAGCCGAAGGCTCAAGTGAGCTTTTCTGATCACATTTTGTCCGTCGTCCGTCCGTCTGTCCAGCTGTCTGTCTGTCTGTCCGTCTGTAAACTTTTCACATTTTCGACTTCTTCTCAAGAACCACTTGGCCAATTTTGACCAAACTTGGTACAAAGCATCCTTGGGTGAAGGGAAATTTAAATTGTTAAAATAAAGGGCCAAGTTCCCTCACAAGGGGAGATAATCAAGAAAAGACAAAAATAGGGTGGGGTCATTAAAAAATCTTCTTCTCAAGAACCACTGGGTCAGAAAAGCTGAGACTTATGTGGAAGCATCCTAGGGTAGTGTAGATTCTAAATTATTCAAATCATGACCCCCGGGGGAAGGGCGGGGCCACAATGGGGAATCAAAGTTTTACATAGAAATATATAGGAAAAATCTTTGAAAATCTTCTTCTCAAGAACAACTGGGCCAGAAAAGCTGAAACTTATGTGGAAGCATTCTAGTATAGTGTAGATTCTAAATTGTTCAAATCATGACCCCCGGGGGAAGGGCGGGGCCACAATGGGGAATCAAAGTTTTACATAGAAATATATAGGAAAAATCTTTGAAAATCTTCTTCTCAAGAACCACTTGGCCAGAAAAGCTGAAACTTATGTGGAAGCATTCTAGTAGAGTGTAGATTCTAAATTGTTCAAATCATGACCCCCGGGGGAAGGGCGGGGCCATAATGGGGAATCAAAGTTTTACATAGAAATATGTAGGAAAAATCTTTGAAAATCTTCTTCTCAAGAACAACTGGGCCAGAAAAGCTGAAACTTATGTGGAAGCATCCTTGTAAAGTGTAGATTCTAAATTGTTCAAATCATGACCCCCGGGGGAAGGGCGGGGCCACAATGGGGAATCAAAGTTTTACATAGAAATATATAGGAAAAATCTTTGAAAATCTTCTTCTCAAGAACAACTGGGCCAGAAAAGCTGAAACTTATGTGGTAGCATCCTGGTACAGTGTAGATTCTAAATTATTCAAATCATGACCCCCGGGGAAGGGCAGGGCCACAATGGGGAATCAAAGTTTTACATAGAGATATATAGGAAAAATCTTTGAAAATCTTCTTCTCAAGAACCACTGGGCCAGAAAAGCTGAAACTTATGTGGAAGCATCCTGGTATAGTGTAGACTCTAAATTGTTCAAATCATGACCCCCAGGATAAGGGTGGGGCCACAATGGGGAATCAAAGTTTTACATAGAAATATATAGGAAAAATCTTTGAAAATCTTCTTCTCAAGAACCACTTGGCTAGAAAAGCTGAAACTTATGTGCACATGGAAGGATCCTGGGGTAGTGTAGATTTCAAAATGTCTAAATTATGATCAGTGGGGTAGGGTGAGGATGCATTATGTATTATAAGGGGGAAATTTGGTAAAACACAGAATGGTCAAAGCTTCTCAGGTGAGCGATGTGGCCCATGGGCCTCTTGTTTGAAAGGTCTTTCCACAGGTAATGTACATAAAAATGAAATAATTAAGAAATCAGTTCCTCTACTCAATGACATTTAGAAATTATGACCAGGGCAAAGGTAATTTTAATTTTTTTGAAAAAAAAGGCCAAACTTCAAGATAATGGAATCAAAATGCTAAGCCTATATTGGAAAGGTTTTGTTGGAGGTAATGTTTCTGTGAAAATGATAGTCTTTATATATTTCCTCATTCCAATTAATGCAAAGAATCGAAGATTTGAGTTTTTCTGACAGATAGACTGATAGACAAAGGAGAGAGATATTACATAGGCAAAATTAATAAGATTTAATATCCCCTTGCTTTTGCAAAAGAAAGTGACAATTAATAAGTATTTTTCACATCTGTATGGAAAACAAAAAAACCCACTTATAATGGCAAGATAAAGGTAGTTGATCTTTAAGGCCAAAAAAAAAAATTAATAGTTTCTCAGTCCAAAAATTCAAAATTCAATGTGGCAGGCAGGCTTTTTTTTTGAAACATATTTTACACCTTTTTATGCCCTGCCATGAATATGGCCGGGGCATATAGTGTTTGTCGTGTCCGTCTTCCGTCCTTCTGTCTGTCCTTTCGTCACACTTTGCATTTAGCTCTGTTCGAAGAAACTATGCAAGATATTTTCATCAAACATCATATGCTGATATATATTGATGAGAGCTATGCTATTGCATCAACATTTTTTACCTTGTCCTTTTCTTTGACCTTGACCTCACTTTTTTAAACTTAGTGTTTAGCTCAGTTTTAAACATACCATTCAAGATGATGGTATCAAACTTAAATGTTGATACATACTGATGAGAGCTATTCAGCTGCATCTCCACTTTTACCTTGACCTTTCCTTTGACCCTGACCTCACTTTTCTTTAATTAGTGTTTAGCTCAGTTTTAAAGATACCATTCAAGATAGTATTTTCAAACTTCATATGCTGATACATACTGAAGAGAGCTATTTTACTGCAACACCATTTTTGACCTCAACCTTTCCTTTAACCTTGACCACACTTTTCTTAAATTGGTGTTTAGCTCGTTTTTTAAGAAACCATCCAAGATATTTTTATCAAACTTCATATGCTGATACATACTGGTTAGAGCTATTCGACTGCATCAACATTTTTGACCTTGACCTTTCCTTTGACCTTTGACCTCACTTTTCTGTAATCAGTGTCAAACTTTGCATGCTGATACATACTGATGTAAGCAATTCAACTGCATCAACATTTTTGACCTTGACCTTTTATTTGACCTTGACCTTGACCTCACTTTCATCAAATTCTGTTTAAGTCGGTTTTAAAGAAATCAGTCAAGATATTTTTATTTAACTTCATATATTGATGCATATTGAGGAGAGATATGCAACTGCATCAACATTTTTTACCTTGATCTTTCCTTTGACCTTTGACTTCACTTTTCCTAAATAAGTATGAAATTCATATGCTGATACATATTGATGTAAGCAATTCAACTGTATCAGTTTTTGACCTTGACCTTTCATTTGACCTTGATCTCACTTTTATCTAATTGTGTTTAAGTTAGTTTTAAAGAAACCATCTATAAATATTTTTTTGAACTTTGTAAGCTGATACATACTGATGAGAGCTCTCAACTGCATCAACATTTTTAAACCTTAGCATTTCTTTTGACCTTGACCTCACTTTAAAGAAATTAGTGTCAAACTTTATATGCTGATACATACCAACATAAGCAATTCATCTGCATCACTTTTCAAGATATTCTGATCAAATTTCATACACTAATACAAATTTTCATGTTGCATTACTAATATTCCCTCAGCGGGGCATTCATGTCCTATAGACATATTTCTAGTTAAGTCATATGTTCAATAAAATGATAATATCTACATGTACTTATTCTTAAGTTTTGTTCTCTGAAATTAGCTATAATATGTATTCAACTTTAAATAATGTTATTCCAAATATTTATTTAAAAGTTACCTCATAAAATACTGTAAATTTAAAAGAAATACTTAGTATATTGTTTTGCTAATAAAAAAGTCTTTCTTATTGAAAAGGGGAATAACTCGATTTTCGTTTTCAACTTGGAAAAACAGATTATTTCCCTTTTCAATATGTCAATAAAATTAATCAATGCGGCCATTTTTTAATTGATGCGGCGGTGCCTGAGAAACTATTGATTAATTTTTTTTGGTCTAACGATAGATAATTTATTGTTGTTTATTACCTTGTGTTCAGATCTTAAAGCACATGCACTTTTAACCATAAAAGAAATTATCACACATTTCAAACTCTACTCTGATGTCCCTGGAATACCCAACAAACTAGACAGTGATTCCTTAAATTTTTATTTCTGATAATGTGAAAAAATTGTTTAAAATGTTGATTTGTTAAAAACATGCTTTCAATAGATTTAAAATACAGGAATGCTGGTTATAAACCTAGAAATTTGAAGAATGTTGGTATAGAAGCAATATGATCAAATCAAATTTTTGCCAGTTTTTCTCGAACAAACAGTGCTCAGAAAGCAAGCATGTTTAATACTCTAATGACTAGCAATCCTGAATAACATGTGTCATCCTTCAACAAGCATGGAAACTGGAAGTATTTCTATCTAATTCTTTAGAAAATAAAATGAATGTGCTGATTATCTTCAAAATATGCAAAAGACATGAAATTAGAATTTAAAAGCAGGTTTTAGTTTTGGGATATGGGAGGAATTGATCTAGTTTGTAATCAGAAACTAACATGACTGTTACATCACCAAGCATATTAACGGTATTGTAAAAATGTATTAGTTCTCTGAAAATCTTTTTTGCTTGGGTTTGTATTAAAGTCAGGTGACCATTCAAGCCCACGGGCTCTTGTTTTTGATTTTACATATTAAATTCTAAAATATTTTATTTACTGATGGATACAATTAAGAGTGAAATCTGCGAAATGAAAAACTTAATTGTTTTTCTTGATATTAAATTTGTTATGCAAAATTGTCTTGAATTATCATTTAGTAAAAATACATAATTTCCATTGTATATTACCAAAGTATACATATAACTACTTAGAGCAATGTCTGCAAATTTAATGAATTGAAAAACTTTATTGTTTTTCATATTTGTTACTGTAGATCACTAAATTTTCGCGACACCTTATTTTCACAAGATAGTCATTGACTCTTGATTAGCGAAACAAGTGTGGTTATTGCTCTATATAATCTTAAGGAATGCTATTATACGCGAGAATTAAATTTTCGCAAGCAGACTGTCTCGCGTAATTAAGCGAAAATAAAGTTCTCGTGAATAAAAAGTGATTTACAGTATGCAGAATCATCTGTAAGGTTAGTCAAAGTTAATACATGTACCATTGGATTGAAATAAGTAAAAGATATCTAGATCATCATTTTCTTAATTGCTTTAATTAGGAACTTTAATAAACATTTAGGGAATAACTATCTTACAATATAACTTGGCACACAAGTAGACTACGTACATTAAGATACATAATTCTGTATATTGCTATTGCAAAGTTTCAAGTCCAAGAGCTACTTTTCTTTTTCTTGGTTATAATTTCAAACAGTAGAGCTAAAGTCTACTTAGATACTTCTGGTTTATATTAAATATATTAATTTCAATTTTAAAGAAACTATTTCAAGATATTCTCATCAAACCTCATACACTTATTAAAACAAATTTTCATGTTGCACTACTGATATACCCCCAGTGGGGCATTCATGTCCTATGAACATATTTCTAGTTTATCACAATTTAAAATTAATCAGGTAAAAAAAAATAATCTTTTGCTATAATTATTGTTTTTTCCTCCTTAACATGTGTTTAATTACATAATTGTTAGCAGTAGAAATGTCTCCTAGTTTTCATTTTAACACATGCTTTTGACTTTACTGGGGCTGAGATGAGGTCCAGTAGAGAGATAGACAGAAAAATCAACCCAATAATGATCCCTCCCATAACCCCCATAGACGCGGCGGTGGGCCTCGAATCAGGGATGCTGGATTTCCTCCGTACAGAGGACGATAGTTCATGCTTGACCAGGGACAGATTAGCTCGGATGTTGGCTACTTTAATCTCTAGTTCCCATGTTGTTAACGTACTGTTGGTACCACACACGGTGTAGCTATAACAACTGCTGTAGACTTCAGTCATATTGTAGGTTGTCCCTGTTGTTTGATGACTATTACTGGTCAGGTTTTGTGGTAGTGTGATGTTTTTAGGAGTCATAGTTGTAATGTTTCCAGAGGTATTGATGTTATCAGTAAATTGCTCATACTCAGAAGTGGTTATACCCTCAGATGTAGTGGGGATGTTCCACCATTCGGTTGTGTTGGTCACACTAGTGGGAGCTTGAGAACTGCTGTAGACTTCAGTCATATTGTAGGTTGTCCCTGTTGTGGATTGATGACCATTACTAGTCAGGTTTTGTGGTAGTGTGACATTTTCAGGAGTCATAATTGTAATGTTTCCAGAGGTATTGATGTCATCAGAGAATTGCTCATACTCTGATGTAGTTAAACCTTCAGATGTAGTGGTGATGTTCCACTGCTTGGTTGTGTTGGTCACACTAGTGGGAGCTTGAGAAGTGCTGTAGACTTCAGTCATGTTATAGAATGTCTCTATCATAGATTGATAGCTATTATTGGTCAAGTCTTGGGGTAGTGTGACATTTTCAGAAGTTGTTGTATTCATACCATTTTCAAATGTATTCACGTCATTATATAATTGCTCATAGTCTGCTGTGGTTAGCCCCTCGTCTGTTGTTGTGCTATTCCACTGTTCAGTTGTGCTGGTCACATTATTGGGAGCTTGACAAATCGTGTTCCGCTGAGTAGGGGTGCACATCAAATCATTCCAGCCAGCACTTGCTGTGTTTATTTCCACACAGTTTCCGTCTCCGTTTGGCTCACCTGTGTCCCAGAAAGATTCCGTCAGGCTCTCTCCATCCATCCACTGGAACACCCTACCACTGTGAAGGGAGGAGGTATTAGTCGCCAAGTAGATCCAGGCACTCTTTTTATCAATGAGTGTCAGGAATTCAATGAGATTGGCTAATTCCTTAGCATTCTTTGTCATTGCCATTGTGGCGCTCATGTTGGCACACAAATCAGCTGATGTTAAGAAATCCTCCGGATCCTCTAAATTTATATAACAGTGAGTCCAGTCCGGCATTCCAATCCAGGCAGCTTGATCCGGACAGGAGTATAACTGATAGACCTGAAGGACAAAAACCACTGCACAGGGGCTGTGCAAAAACTGCATCTTTTATCACATAGTTACAGTTAAGTTTTGGTCTCCAAAGTAGGGATTCATTTCATTGTCAATTTGACATTTAATATTCAGTAATGACTTGAAAAGTGATGATATAAATATTTGCCATCAATGATTGTATTGTATTTAGTGAACAGAATAATATACAAATAGCAGATCAGTGGACAGCAATGAAAATAACAGGAAACTTAGTCCATTTACAGGTAAAAGAAATGGCCACTGTTCAATATTGATCTCTTGTCCAAAATCATAATCAATGTACATCATGAATAGAAGACTTCTTGCTCTACAAATAAGAGATGGATAGGATTTTGAGCAGTTTTCAGGGAGGTTAACACTTGATGATGTGACATTCGTATCCCACCCATAAATCAAGTGCCTTTTATTTACTTTGCCAGTCCTCTGAAATCAAATATAGTAAATAGGTATTTCTAATGTTTAATTTGTTTTCAGGCTTGTATTCTTGTTTTAATTCTGACGTTATAGCTACTGAAAGTGACAGCTTATTTCTACATAGCCTAAAACATGAGAATTCCATCTCTGGTGATAGTTAAGGGTACTGCAAATGACAGTATTTTCATAAAGTTTATGTAAGGACATTGAAGCTCCTCTGCTTGTTGTTTTTGTATCAGCTTAGTATATATTTGACCAGATCTTCAGAACCTCAAGTGTTTTTCATTTAGTAGGTGTAAAAATGTCTCATTTTCATCTTTTGATCCTTCAATTGCATACATGCATACTATAAAAGTACTTTTTCAATGTGTTATTTTATACCATGTAGGCAGTTGCTATCTTCAGCAGAAAGTATAATATATAGTGACTATCTAAACAAAAATATGCATAATTTGTTACCATGGATTGAACAGTAAAGTAATTTTATGGTCCTATGTGCTTGTGGAAAAGAAGCATGCATGCCCAATTGTTTGCTCTTTGTTTAAAAATTGTCTGAATTTAATCTAGTGAACCAGATAGCTTGTCTTGATATCAAGCTGAAAAGCTGAAGAAGAGCTGAAACTTATGTGGGAGCATCCTGGGATAGTGTAGATTCTAAATTGTTCAAATCATGACCCCCGGGGGTAGGGCAGGGCCACAGTAGGGAATCAAAGTTTAACATTGAAATATATATATAGAAAAAATCTTCTCAAGAACAATTGGGCCATAAAAGCTGAAACTTATGTGGAAGCATCCTAGGGTAGTGTAGATTCTAATTATTTTCAAATCATGACCCCAGGGGTAGGGCAAGGCCACACATAGGGAACCAAAGTTTAGCATTGAAATATATAGGAAAAATCTTCGTGATTATGGATGCATCCTGGGGTAGTGTATATTCTAAATTGTCCACATCATGACCCCTGGGGGAAGAGTGAGGTCACATTGGGTATTACAAAGGGGTATCTGGTTAAGAACAGCATGGCTTAAGTTACTCAGGTGAGCAATGTGGCCCATGGGCCTCTTGTTTGAAAGGTTGCAGTCAACACTTGCCAATACTTATCAATACCTATATTTCTCCATAGAGTTCCTTTCATAAACATTCTAAAGTAGTAAGAGAAGAATAGCTCAAGTATAATGCACATAAATGCCCTCTTAATTGCAATTGTTAGGAAGGAGGCAAATTCAGAAGCTGCAAAAAAATTATATATTTTGTCTGTAGTTATAAAAATGATTCCTTTGTTATTCTTTTCACTCTAACAACACAAAATTATTTTTTTTATTTTATAATTTTATAAGGGAAAGTCCTAGTGTTCAGGGAAATGCAGTGCTGTCGTTGGGGTGTCTGGTGTTGGCCACACAGAAACATTGGGTTGACCTTGACCAGGGGACTCAAGGTCAGCTTGATGAGGTCAAGGAGTTTCAGCCTCAATCTCACTGGGTTGCTGTTGTCATGGATACACTGATGTCTTTGATGGATGTGACCTTTCAACCCAAAGGAAGCATATTGGGAATCTGTCAACAGGTAAGTAAAATATTTTGGTGGATCCATTAAAATTAAAATTCTAGATCTGGAAAAATGTTTCCTTTATTAAGATAAGATAGCAAAAAAAAACTTTTTTAGTTTAAAACTGTTTTAGATATCAAAGCTATACTTCAGGGTATAGATTTAGATATCCATCCCTCAGAAGATTTTCATTCAAATTTTAGCTCACCTGAGCCAAAGACTCGAGTCAGCTTCCCTGATTAAAGTTTGTTGTATAGTTGTTGTTCCAGGGAAATATAATTAACAAAAAATTAAAAGTTTTTTATGCATAAACCCCCGTCTTCCCTGAACTCCTCCTACATTTTAGTCAGTAGCGTAATCATCTTTGGGAGATGGTTTATGGTGTCATGTAGATGTGTAGTAAGGTTTCGGAATTTTGATTTTGCCCCGGGGGTCAAATGGGGGTCGAAAAATGACGTTTTTTATGCAAAAAGCCCCGTCTTCCCTGAACAACTCCTACATTTTACATAGTAGCCTAATCATCTTTTGGGAGAGTTAAATATTTTGAAAATTAGGTAAAACATCAATGTCAAGGGGTAAAAAATCATTGCATGCTGGGAACATCTTGAATTCTTATGAGTAATTAATGTACATGTCAAATGTGAAAGTCATATCTCTTCTCAATCAAAAGTTATAAGCAAATGCTACATTTCTGAAAAGTAGGTTAAGCTTCAAGGTCAAGGTCACAGAGTCAAAAGTCATGATTTAATTAGAAAGGTCTTATCACAGGTAATAATATACATGCATGTATCATATGAATGCCCTAACTTTTCTCTTTCAAAATGATGAATTTAAAACATGTAATTTTTTTGCAAGTAGGTCAAACTTCAAGGTCACGGGTAAAAAAAAATCATGCCATTGTCACAGGTAAATACCAATACATATGTTAATATGAATGCCTTGTCTCTTCTCATTCAGTAGATACGTAAATGATGACCAAGGTTAAATTTATTGAGACAGATGGACAGACTGACATACAGATGTACATATTTCTATGTGAATTTGTTAAAATTGGCCCAGTGTTTCTAGAGAAGAAGTTCAAAATGTAAAAACTTTCCAGACAAACAGATGGATGGCAGACGTAATGTGATAAGGAAACACGAAAAGCTCAAATGAGTATTTTGAAAGGGTTACCATGGTTACAGTATTTGAAAATCTTTTTTTTTCATGCAATTTTTTGAGAAGCTGAAAATGTATGGCATGTATCCATTGTTAAAAAAACTGAACATTTCAGAAAACAGTATGATTGAAAATTGTTAATCAAGGTGTTTTGAGTAGCAAAATAAAGCTAGTAACTTTTATAGCTAATTCAACCACAGAACTTAGTCAATTTTAAGATGCACAACCTTTTCAACTCTTATATTAATTATTTTTAGCTCTACTGGTCAGAGACCAGAAGAGCTTATGCGATAGTAATGCGTCAGGCGTCCGTCCGTCTGTCTAGCTGTCTGTCTGTCCGTCTGTCTGTAAACAATTTTTCAAAATGCTACTCCTACTACAGTTTTGGTCTAATTTCAGTATAACTTGGCACACAAGTAGACTACACTAAGATACATAATTCTTTATACCGGTTTTTGATTTCGATGAACAGTGTTGCCGTGGTTACTAAAAATAGAAATTTCTGTGAAATTCTTTCAAAATGCTACTCCTCCTACAGTTTTGGTCTAATTTCAATATAACTTGGCACACAAGTAGACTACACTAAGATACATAATTTGTGTATCGGTTTTTGATTTCGATGAACGGTGTTGCCGTTGTTACTAAAAATAGAAATTTCTGTGAAATTCTTTTAAAATGCTACGTCTCCTACAGTTTTGGACTGATTTCAATGTAAGTTGGCACACAAGTAGACTATACTAAGATACACAATTCTGTGTATCGGTTTTTGACTTCGATGAACATCATTGCCTTGGTTACTAAAAATAGAAATTAATACTTTCAAAATACCACTCAAATACAGTTTTAGTCAGATTGTAATATAATGTGGTATGCAAGTAGACTACACTAAGAACATAGAAAGACTTAATCAAGGATCATTATTCTATTTATTGCTGTTGTAAATTTCAATTCCCAACTGCTTAAGTATTTTTCTCTTCCTTTGCTATAAGTACAAACCAGTAGAGCTTCAGTCTCGGCAGAGACTTCTGGTTAAGATATTTATATCATCATTTCTGATTCAAGGGAGAACAAGAGATATTACCAACATGTTCATGTTTTATATTTTTTTTAAGTAATTTGTTTGTTTATTGTGAAAACATCTCTCTCGGGAATTTTTCCTTCATATGGAGACACCACCACTTAAAAATAATGAAGACAAGATGTGTTTGTGAAACACTGATGCCCCCGTATGGCAGCCTATGGTGAAGGTTGAAGTTTCTCAAATGTATGTCAAACTCAAAGGTCAAAGTCAAAGGGTTAAAATTGTTGGTATCGAAAAAAAGTCTTGTCACAAGGAATACACATGTGAAATAAGAAATCCCTTGTACTTCCTGTTCAAAAGTTAATTGCCAAGGTTAAAATTTTTTTTAAAGTGGGTCAAACTCTATGGTCAAGGTCAAACATATTTATACCTGTTGAAAGTTCACAATGAATACACATGTTAAGCATGAAAGCCCTAGCACCTACTGATCAAAATTTACGCCAAGTTTAAAGTTTGGTATTTTTCTTGTAAAAATGAGTAAAAATCCAAGGTCAGGGTCAAGAGATCAAGAGGTCAAAATAGGTGGTACCCAAATAAAAGGTCTTGTCACAAGAAATTAACCTATGAAATGTGGAAACCATGTGTATAGCCCATCCCACTTAAAACTTATGGGCAAGGTTAAAGTTTCTGTGGACAAACAGACAGACATAATATAAACACTAGAAACAAAATATGTATATATACAGTCAAATGGAAAAAAATCTACTATTTTGGAGTCACAAGATCGATTGTAATTTCAGGGACAGGGAGTGGTGAGGGAGGTTGGATCCCCCCTTGGAATTTGCTTTGTTATTTGAAAAAGACTTTATACTGAAGCAAATTAAAAAATGATTTTGGACATCCCCCCCTTAGAAAAGATTGACCCCACGACCCCACTATCATTGTTTTTATTTTGTTGATTTGTTTTCTTTTTTTTTTCTTTGCTTGTCAGAAAATTCTGTGCTAGAATTTTTTTGACTGAGGTGTGAACCCCCCTTCCCCCTCCCAAAAAAAATCTGGATCTAAACCAGTAACTGATCGTCTGATGAATGTCACATCAACAACGCGAGATAACTTAAATTTACAATGTGAAATTCGTCTACAGTGGCATGCGATGATCTTTGACCCTTTTTGAACTTTATTCTAATCATTTGCATTTCGGTTTATTTTACTCCAATCTGTACTTAAACTTGTACTTACCGACAGTCATAGGTCCTGTCAACTTCAGGAAATATAATCCAATTTAAACACAAAATGAATTATTTCAATACACACCAAACTGCACCATGTGCTAATTTGGCAAACCTTGGCTGATTCAATCGCTTTATCAGATGAAGTGGGACTTGGCTGAGGTGTGCCCAGTGGTGCTTAATCTAAAAATATGATAATGGGTGACACAACCCAATGTGGTGTAGAAATTTTCCAAAAGGTGTTTACATGTAAACATGTATAGTACAAGAACAAATTTTAAATTAATTCATAACAAACAATGTTTTAATATAACTTTTCCAGCTAGCCTATTTACCTATTTAAAAAAAAAAATGTACGTGCTGTGTGTTTGTGGTGTCGGGGGGGGGGGGGGGGGGGGTATTGGTAAATTTAGAAATTCCTATAATGAGCAAAACATTTTTCAAAATCTAATTTACATCATTAATTAAGTTTTGTTTTTTCAGACTGGTAATGAATTAAGCATATAAAATACATATAAGAGGTTCTGAGTCTTAGGTCACAGGGTCTGAGAATTTCATACTCATTTTGACAAATACATGTTCAGTGTAAATTATAGAATTATTTTGACTTTTCCCTTGAAAAACCCAATATGTAGGAGTGTGTATTTAGAGACAAACACCTTAGTGCGGGTATTACTGTCTCATGACAGCATCTAGTTAAAAATGTGTATTCTCAAGAACCACTATCCAGAAAAGATAATGTATTTGAAAGCTTCATGAAATGTATACAGTACGTGTATTGATTAAGTTTATTCAATTCATGAACCCTTATGGTAGGATGGGGTATACTATGGGTGATCCTAAGTTTTCCATGGTTTATATATTAAGTAGGAGAACATAAAAAAAAAAAAAACTTAAAAATAATTTTCCAAGGATCATGATTAGTCATATATATAAAGAAGCATTCTTAGATAGTGTACATTTAAGTTGTTTAAGAAATAGAATTTTCTAATGAACAAGAATGAACAAGAAGGACCGCACTTACACAGGTGAGAATTGTAGCCCATGGGTCTTGTTGATCTCCTGCAATGTAATCGACTGATTTGCAACTTCTCCAACACCGAAGATTTTCACTATGATTTATCCCTTTAAGTTCTATCCAACCCTGACATGAATTATATAGTCAATTTTTTAATAGTTTTAGTTTTAATTTCTTTTTTAAATTTTGGGGTCCTTTATATTCTGGATATTGGTATATTTTTGAAAAGTTATTGAAAATATTGAATTTGATAGGTTTAAAAAATTATGTGTTATAAGCATCCTTTGCAGGCAAACTGATAAATCTGAGTGAAATAACAGTTAGTTGCTGATATCACCCCTGGATATGTGACTTAATATACCCACTACTTCCTTTTCAGAGGTCGGTCAGTGACAGGATGACTTGTAGTTTCCTTACCCAGGCCTCCTCAGTCTTGGCTCTGAGCCAGCTTACACCTGTTATGATCAGTCAAGATGTGAGCAGGATATTTATGATTTTTGAGGCCCTGACAAAATGGCTACCAGGACAGCCGGAGGCACCAGAGGCACCGGTCCTACAGCTGGCTTATGGTTTGGGTCTGGGATGTCTTCTGGGAAAGCTGTCAGAGGAACACTTCATGGAAACTTGTGGATCCAAAGTAATTGGTTTTTGTCATGTTTGTACCCTAGCTATAACACGTCACTCAATATTTAGGCAATTTCATGATAATATGTTTTATGGTGTGATTGTTTGAGTGAGTGCAGATTCACACAGTTAAGTTATACAACACTTGCAAATTTGATCCAGGATCCTTCTCTTTAAACTTAAAATACACAAGACACAGGCTAAACTGTGATGTCATGTGACATCGTATTTATGTTGCATATCTGTGACAAAATCTGAATAGGGCTAAGTGCAATATCTTAACAAAGGGCATTATAGTTTTTAGCTCACCTGAGCCGAAGGCTCAAGTGAGCTTTTCTGATCACATTTTGTCCGTCGTCCGTCCGTCCGTCTAGCTGTCCGTCCGTCCGTCTGTCCGTCTGTCCGTCTGTAAACTTTTCACATTTTCGACTTCTTCTCAAGAACCACTGGGCCAATTTTGACCAAACTTGGTACAAAGCATCCTTGGGTGAAGGGGAATTTAAATTGTTAAAATGAAGGGACATATCCCCTCGCAAGGGGAGATAATCAAGAAAAGAGAAAAATAGGGTTGGGTCATTAAAAAATCTTCTTCTCAAGAACCACTGGGCCAGTAAAGCTGAAACTTATGTGGAAGCATCCTGGGGTAGTGTAGATTCTAAATTGTTCAAATCATGACCCCCGGGGGAAGGGCGGGGCCACAATGGGGAATCAAAGTTTTATATAGAAATATATAGGAAAAATCTTTGAAAATCTTCTCCTCAAGAACCACTGGGCCAGAAAAGCTGAAACTTATGTGGAAGCATCCTGGTATAGTGTAGATTCTAAATTGTTCACATCATGACCCCCGGGAGAAGGGCGGGGCCACAATGGGGAATCCAAGTTTTACATAGAAATATATAGGAAAAATCTTTGAAAATCTTCTTCTCAAGAACCACTGGGCCAGAAAAGCTGAAACTTATGTGGAAGCATCCTGGTATAATGTAGATTCTAAATTGTTCAAATCATGACCCCCGGGGGAAGGGTGGGGCCACAATGGGGAATCAAAGTTTTATATAGAAATATATAGGAAAAATTTTTGAAAATCTTCTTCTCAAGAACCACTAGGCCAGAAAAGCTGAAACTTATGTGGAAGCATCCTGGTGTAGTGCAGATTCTAAATTGTTCAAATCATGACCCCCGGGGGAAGGGCGGGGCCACAATGGGGAATCCAAGTTTTACATAGAAATATATAGGAAAAATCTTTGAAAATCTTCTTCTCAAGAACCACTGGGCCAGAAAAGCTGAAACTTATGTGGAAGCATCCTGGTATCATGTAGATTCTAAATTATTCAAATCATGACCCCCGGGGGAAGGGTGGGGCCACAATGGGGAATCAAAGTTTTACATAGAAATATATAGGAAAAATCTTTGAAAATCTTCTTCTCAAGAACCACTAGGCCAGAAAAGCTGAAACTTATGTGGAAGCATCCTGGTGTAGTGTAGATTCTAAATTGTTCAAATCATGACCCCCGGGGGAAGGGTGGGGCCACAATGGGGTATCAAAGTTTTACATAGAAATATATAGGAAAAATCTTTGAAAATCTTCTTCTCAAGAACCACTGGGCCAGAAAAGCTGAAACTTATGTGGAAGCATCCTGGTATAGTGTAGATTCTAAATTGTTCAAATCATGACCCCCGGGGGAAGGGCGGGGTCACAATGGGGAATCAAAGTTTTATATAGAAATATATAGGAAAAATCTTTGAAAATCTTCTTCTCAAGAACCACTGGGCCAGAAAAAGTGAAGCTTATGTGGAAGCATTCTGGGGTAGTGTAAATTCTAAATTGTAGGAATCATGACCCCCGGGGGAAGGGCGGGGCCACAATGGGGTATCAAAGTTTTACAAAGAAATATATAGGAAAAATCTTTGAAAATCTTCTTCTCAAGAACCACTGGGCCAGAAAAGCTGAAACTTATTTGGAAGCATCCTGGTATCATGTAGATTCTAAATTGTTCAAATAATGAATCCCGGGGGAAGGGCGGGGCCACAATGGGGAATCAAAGTTTTATATAGAAATATATAGGAAAAAGTCTTTGAAAATCTTCTTCTCAAGAACCACTGGGCCAGAAAAAGTGAAGCTTATGTGGAAGCATTCTGGGGTAGTGTAAATTCTAAATTGTAGGAATCATGACCCCCGGGGGAAGGGCGGAGCCATTATAGGGGAATCAAAGTTTTACATAGAAATATATAGGAAAAATCTTTGAAAATCTTCTTCTCAGGAACCATTGGGCCAAAAAAGCTGAAACATATGTGCCCATGGAAGGATCATGGGGTAGTGTAGATTTCAAAATGTCTAAATTATGATCAGTGGGGTAGGGTGGGGATGCATTATGTATAACAAGGGGGAATCTGGTAAAGAACAGAATGGTCAAAGCTTCCCAGGTGAGCGATGTGGCCCATGGGCCTCTTGTTATTTCTTTTAAGCTCCCTCCATAAATGAAATCTTTATTAAATGAAATCTATATGGAGAAAAATGAACAGTACTCAAGCTCAAAAGTGTTGATTGATAAAAGTTGAAGTCATCACATTTATCATTAAGCTTGGTTTTGAGATTACCATGAGCATCTTTTTCAAGTAAAATATCTAGATATTAAACTGCTGTGTCAGACTCTGTAGTATCTTTTATTTTTAGCTCACTGGGATATATCATATCAATATAAGAATGGAATTAACCGTTTTTCATTGACCATATGTTGTCAATATATATCTAAATGTTGAGCTGAAAGCCACAGAAAGTGTTCTCTTCTTTTCACTTATAAGATTTTGGACAAATTCTGCTTCATATGAATACAAAAAAAAAAAGGTTTCATAATAACAGGGCACAGTTGGTACCCATGGAAATTCCAATATATTGTTGGAATACCTGGTCTCCAGAAACGACATAGATATTGAAATCAGAAACTCAAGCATCTTTGTAATATCAATTTCAAAGTTCTTGTGTATACATTCAGAATGTGACATTTTTATTAAAATAAAATTAAAATAGCCAATGTTAACATTGTAAGTAAAATATCAACAATTCAGAGTTGTGAAACATAATAAATGATATAAACTTGATGGGAAAAGAAGATTAAATCAAAATATTTCAATATTTTGAAAAAAGAGAATTCAAAACTACCAGGTAAAGGTATTTGACCCTATATGAGGCTTGCTCACAAATTCTTTTTAATGCCTATCACAAGCTGTTAACCTTTGATATGTCTTAGCTTTGTCTTAACTTGATAATTAAATTATCTAAAAAATTCATTTAATTATCACATTATCAAACATCCTCCCCTGTGCCCATAGTTTATTGACTTCTCATGAATCATACTGAAGTGTTTTGGAATAAACTGGAAATGTACCGTATATACTTGCCTATAAGTGGGTTGTATTTTTGGGGTTATTTTGAAGGGATTCGTCATTGACCCGCTAGTTGGTTCACCATTTTTATATGCCCATCTTAAGACGGGACGTATTACATCTTAAGACGGGACGTATTATGTTATAGTGTTTGTGTCCGTCCGTCTGTTAGCTTTTTCGTTTCTGGCTCATAACTTTAATACTACAAGGCCTAGGATTATCAAACTTTGTCAGCTGATGCATCTTGGGTCGAAGGTGTGTTGCGCATTCAAAGTAGGTCCCCCTGACCTTTACTTAAAGCCGCTTGGTCCGATTCTAATCTCTAAAAATATATATTTGTTTTTCTTCTTGAAAAATAGTTGTCCATAAATTGTTTCACTTTTTGTCAAATTATATCCCCAAAGTCTTTTTCTTTCAAAAGATATCAAAATTCAAAAGTAAAAAAAATAAATTTTTGTTAGGTCACACAAAAAATAATCCTTTGTTGATATCACGTGAAATCACCTTAGAAAAATTAAATTTATCGCTTACATGTATCTCATGAAGAACGAACCCGAGCATTTTTTTCACAACAAAGTACTTATACCTGTACATGGACAATATTCCAGCCTTCGTTACTAAATTTCCTTTAAAATAAATATCTGATTTTCCTTTATTCTTTAAATATGCATATTGATATAAAAATTACTATGGATTATATTCAATGATTTAGGCTTCTACTAATGAAAAAAATAATACTTGGGTTTGAATTATCCTCATAATAAGATAAAACCGATAAATTTATTTTTTTCAAAAGTGACTTCACAACAGATCTTAACTTCCTGTCAGGAACTCCTGTTTGTCAATAAGGTTTTTGATCTATGTTTTCCACGTAAGGATTGTTGTAATAAACTATTAAATCAATCTTATAATTTATTTTTGTACATTATCTATGTAATGACGTACTTTTATTGTGCGAGATAATATGTGCCTGTTTCGGATTAAGCGGCTTTAAGAAGTTATAGCCAAATATGGAAAAATCCTTTCCAGCTCCTGACTAGAAAACTTAGAATCGTCAAACTTGGTCAGTTTATGCATCTTAGGTAGAAGGTGTGTTGCGACCTATTTCAAGGTCACAGTGACCTTTAATTTAAGGGAAATTTGAAGAAAAAAAAACTTGTGTCTTTTTACTTTTCATTTACACATCCCAAAAAATGTAAAAGTTTTGCAGTATCCTTATTCAAAAAATGTTAAATCAAGAAAAAAATATTTTTTTTTGCATGTACTTTACAGCAATCTGTAACAAATATACCCCCTCCGTAGCATTCTGTCACAAAAGCTGAAAGATTTTTTCTGAGTTTTGTATTTCTTTCCATGCAAGTTAATTCTTATAACAAGAACAGTTTCATTTGTCAGAAATGGTCAAATTTCGGCAACAGAATGGGTGGATAAAAATATCCTTTCCAAACATGAGCATGGCGACCATCAAAACCCAAATCTTCTGTCTCGGGAAAGACGTTTATACAAGGTGGATAGAGAATGGATGCCTCCTTTTTATCATATTTAACATGTTTAAAATCTAAAGTAAACAGTATCCTAAGTATTTAATAATTATATCATTGTTGAGATATTCAACCATTTTTCAAACTGTAA